AACACAGGATCAACAAGTTCGTGAACATTACTTTTCCTATCACAGTTCTACAACTAAACACATAGCAAAGATTGTTGATTGATCTTACACATATTGTAAAGTTTGTTAGTACTGTTATTGAATGTTCGTTACTTTTTCACGTCAAAACTACTGAATGGATTTTGATAAAAAATGACGCATATATAGACTACTTCTTGTAGTCTGTGATAACACATAGGCTTTTTATCCAGGTATCACTACATACACTCACCGGCACGGAAACTTGGCCACCAACTAACTCGCCGATAATTTCATTTTAAATATATAATTTTCACTGTATTATGGGTTTATGCACTAAATAAGGGTGTTTTATGGTTTTGTAACTCAGTTATTGAAAAAAATGATGCACCAACAGTAATCTTTTAAAAAATAAGCAGTTTCACAAAAATATTGTTTTTAACACTGTCAGTTTAAAAAGAACACAACATGAAAAATAAACAAAAAATCTTCATGATTTTTTAATTTTAATATCGGGTGGTTCCGCCCCTAGCCCTGATAACAGCTTGCATTCGTTCTGGCATACTTTGGATGATGTTTCTGATCTCAACTTGTGGTATGCTTTCCCAAGCGGTCAGTGCTGCATTTCGAAGCTGGTTGGTGATTCAGGTGGGTTGGAGGAGGACTTTATTTTTCTTTTAAGCATGTCCCAGATATGCTCTATTGGATTTAAGTCTGGACTACGAGCTGGCCACTGCAATTTTTGAATACCAACCTCTGTAAGGTATTCCTCCACGCAATGTGCAACGTGTGGGCGCGCGTTATCGTGCATTAGGAGGAATTCGTCGAACCCAATAAACCCTGAATATGGTAACACATGTTCCTGAAGAATCTCCTCGATGTATCGTGTTGCCGTTAATCGGTTATCGACAATAACTAACTCCGTACGTGCTTCGGAACTTATTCCTCCCCAAACCATTATAGAGCCTCCATGAAAACTAACAGTTTGTGTGATGGTAATGGGTGAAAACCGCTCTCCTCTTCTTCTCCATACTCGCTCCCGACCATCTGGAGCTCGTAAAGCTATTCGACACTCATCTGTGAACAGTACTCGAGCCCACTGCTCATGGGTCCAGTTGACGTGTTCTCGTACGAATCGAAGTCGAGCTACTCGGTGACTTCTGAGAAGTTCTGGGCCACGTGCTGGTCTACGAGCTTTTAAATTAACTTCCTCCATTCGTCTTCTCACTGTACGTTCACTAACATTGACACCTCTTGTGAACTGGAGTCGCCGGCGTATCTCAACAGCGGTGAGGTACCGGTTTCTCAAAATTTCTAGGATAATAAAGCGATCATCCCTGGCTGATGTGCATCTGACACCTCCGCTGCCTGGTCTGCGGGAGTAGCGGCCTGTCTCCTGGTATTGTTTCAGCGCATAATGCATCGATGAACGTGGTACATTCAGAATTACAGCAACTTCTCGCTGTGTCAACCCTTGTTCGATCAATGCTACAGCTTGTGCAACCTGTGATGGTGTTAATGGCATTTTTATTGGAATTAAATCACCTTTAGTTATTGAAGAAACAGTACGATATGACAATAATTGAATAACCTAACAATAAACTTTCACAAAACACAAATTTAAAACTGCAACTTAGTCGCTTAGATGACCGGGTTCAACTAAAACTTAAAAATAACGTCATACTGCACTCAAACGTGATAAATTACCCTCTTGAACTAAAGGTAAACATTTTTTAGACCAACTCTCATAACAAATAATCATAGGAAACACTTAAAGCTCTTGTTATCGCGAAATACGCATTTGGCCAAGATTCCGTGCCGGTGAGTGTAGTATAAAACAAAGTCGCTTTCTCCGTCCCTATATCCCTATGTATGCTTCAATCTTTAAAACTACGCAACGGATTTTAATGCGGTTATTTTGTACTAGATAGGCTAATTGAAGAGGAAAGTTTATATGTATAATACCATGCAGTAAATAGTGGAGATATTTAGTATCAGCATCGTTAACTGAACGAAGTCGGGGCGGGTCGTGAGTTTGTTATACCTAATAACAAGTGCACGCAATACAATCGTCAGCTAAAAGTAATGCGTTCATGAAGGACATATTTCTTTAATACAATGTCAAGTTAAATACACACACTACATAAGAATTAAATTTATACTTATTCGATACGTTTATCAAATTATTTAATAGTATAATATAATAAAATTGCCGATAATTTTAAGTTATCGTTGATAAAAAAAAAATGTTTTGCGTGGACAATGACAATATGAATTAATTTATGACGTCACTTTTGCTGACGACTCATGGTCGGACCACCATTTTATCTAATTAAATGAAATCAGGAACATGAGGCCACTTTACTTAATTAATTGTGTTTTGCTTGGAGTGTTATATTTGTGGTTATTCGCTTGCGGATAAATATTATGCAGTAAACTACCTAGTTTGGGATGAGTGATGAGTTGTGTTACCGCAATTAAAAATAGTCTTAAATAACTAGTTAAATTGAGTCCTTATCCTTTCAATCTCACAGACGGGGCCCTATAGGGCTAATGTTCAGCCGGGGACGCGTAGTAAGCGCAATGAGGCACCGCGACCTCGGCCCAGTAGAAGAAGGAACTGGGGGTTTTTACTGTTTTTAGTCAGTAAGAGTCTGACACTCCCTCCCGCCCGGCCCTGGGCGGGAGAAGTCATTTGATAATTTTCCCCTCACAAAGAAAATCCTTTAAATCTCGGTAGGTAATATGACATACAATAGTAAGACAATTAGTGCGCAGACGCCAGCTTGTGCTTGGGGTTCGATAAATTAATATCAATGATGTATACAAATATCTGACACATTCGCAATAGACCACCGAGCCGTAGCATCTGTTTGGTGGAACGAAGAGCTATTAAAGTGTGCGACGAAACTCCTAATACACCATGAAATACAGTCTTTTTGTGAGGAGAAAATCGTCAATTACTTTCGCCCAGGATATTGCGAGGGGAGTGTCAGACTTTTATTGACTAAAAACTATTTCATTCCTTCTCCTGCTCTAGACAGAGCCTGCGGTACCTAATTGCGTTTGCCTCGCAACCCCGGCTAATACGGTCTTAACAAAACAAAGTTGACGGTTAAATTCGATTTTCAAATAAAACTTTTATTAAAAATACCTAATAGTTTTTTCTCGAAAACCAGGTGGTTTAAGATGGAGATTTTAGTTTAACAAGGGCAAAATAAAGAGTCGTGTAGCGTTAGACATGGTGTGTTAGGTTACATACATTTGTGTGGTATGGTGGTGGTGGTCTTGCGACAGGGCGCATCTTTTTAATACATTTGACATCAAGTACCACGACACAACATGCCAAAAAATTTATATTTGTACCCACAACACAGGAGAAAATGTAAGCAGATTGGGGGAAGTTTTATTAACAAAAAACGTTGTTTCTGGAGCGACACGCTACAGTAATATATTTCGGCCTTTACTATTCGCCTTCGGTGAGTGCAAATGATTTATATAAAAATGGGTCCCATTTACGAAACATATCCAGACCCCTATTGGAAAATAAAATAATTATAAATTTATCTTTAGTTTCCGGAGTTATTAACGACGTCATGAACACAATGCTAATACAGATAAGATTATTATGAATGATTAATAAATTAAAGTCGTAGGCACAGACAGGTACATTGATAAAAAATCCGCACTAAATGTAAGGGGGAAATCCATTCAATAATTTCCCTACAGCATTGAGCAATTTAGATAAGTAAAACCTGTTTTAATTACAAACCAGCTTTTACCCGTGACTTCGTTCGCGTGGAATTGTGACTTCAAAGCGGTACAGTAGTTTAGGCGTAAAGAAAAGACAGACAGACAGAGTTACTTTCGCGTTTATAATATTAGTATAGATATAGATAGTATAGTAGTATAGATTAATAAGATATGTTTTTGAAAGAAAAACAAACAAACACATTTTGAATGTAAATTTTTTCTCCTTTTTGAACTATGTTATGACTAGTGGATACCAAGTTTACGCAAAATCGTAATCAAACTTTCGGAATTTTCTTTAACTAACTGCATAGTATTCATACGATTTATTTTCCAATAAAGTTCAAAAAGGAGCCAATCAACATCTAGAAAGGAAGTCAATATAAATAGAAATGATGTTATTTATTGTTTTGGTAATTAAATTACGCCTACAAAATTATTTATTTATTTCTCAAGTTTTCCGCTCAAATGTTAATTAATTGTGGTTTTGGCTGCAACGTCTTAAATAAATCAAATGATTGGCTATAAAAGTAAATTACGTCAGAATTGGGTCATCGCTAATAATAGAAACCGAAATTGAACAAGAAGCATTTCTTTTTTTGAAGGTCATCCAATATCCTTCTCCCGCTTGGCTGTCTCGCCCCAAAGGCTTAACACCATCGCGTTCCTTTTCCTCCTCAAGGCCGGGACCGTGCTTGTACCAGCAACCCCGGCTTAAGATTATTCCTATTGGGCCCCATCAGTGGTGGAACAACTATCAGAGAAACAGAAGGCTTTGTGTTTTGTGCCCCTAATTGGCGCTCTTAACGCATAAGGTCCTATAAGATACTGGGCAATTTTTTACAGTTAGTCGATTGCAACTTTAGGTCAATAGTCTTTAAATATACTAACATGACTTCTAGGCCTTTGAAAATGAATAGTATACGAGTCGCAAGCATGACGCCGCCGCTACGCGCACGCTGCTCATGAATAAGAGCCCCGTTGTGACTTGAAACTAGTAGAGCTTTACTAGTCGTTACCATATTCCCGTTTGATAGTCTCGCTTAAATTGGAGAAGGTCTGGACCGATTTGGCTAATTTTGGTCTTCAAATACTCGTGGAAATCCAGGTTATGTAGAAGGCCAGAAAACATTGGTTAATTTCGAGGCAGTGCGGAGTTTGCCGGGTTAGCTAGTTTTAAATACAAATGAATGGTATGTGTGACTGTATACCAACATGATCTATGCTCAACAACTAAAAAAATAAAAACATACCTAATCCTCGATGCAAACGCAGCATAGTCCTTGAGCCAGAGACAAATCCATTCTTGTCACATAAGTTTGTCTCTTTCTCAAACTTCATCATCTTCTTAAACGAGTCATAGTGTACTGCATCCTCTCCTTCTCTATGCTTTTCCATTATTTTTATTTTACTTTTCACATCACTGCTTACAAATGAGAATACTGATCCTATTAAGTTGAGAAATCTGGAAAAGAAAGATGTCATTAAATTCTTAATGCAAACTAATATCCGAACTTAATCTAAACTTAATATTATTAATGAGAAAGTAAATCTGTTGTCTGTCTGACTTTTTTTCACGCCTAAACTACTGAACCTATTTGTGTGAAATTTAGTACATCCATAGTTTGGAACTCGAGAAAGGACATAGATAGTTTTTTAACAAAATTCTGCAAGAAGTCACTGGCCCACGTGAAAAAATCGCTGGCAAACGCTAGTAAATTATAAATATCTTGGTATAATGTTGATGATTATAACACAGACGATGGGCACAAAGGCTGGGTAACTAGTTACTGTTCAATGTGTTGCAAGTTCAGTTTCTTTATACAATCTACAAATGTTTGTTCCGGGTATTTGTGTAATGTGTATGTGAAATGTTATGTGTGTAAACACACCCACAACATTAGGTAAAATGGTAGTAGGATGCAAAATAATAACAACACTGTACGCTTGAATAGTTGTAAAAGGTGTATCTTCCTTACATTAGCATTAGCAATGATATGAAAATAGCAATTCAAGGCTTTACTGTGATAACAGTTAATTTGCAATTGTGTTATTTAATTTCCTCATTAGGCTATGGTCTAACTGTTTAGATAATTAACTAAATGTAAATCATCTTGGCATATAAAAAAATTAAACTTAAAAATTCTACGTAAATTGTTTACAAACTAAAAAAAAAATATGTATTTTATATGACTGAATTCTTAAATATAGAAACACATAACAGATAGACCAATAGTGATGGGTTGTAAAAAACTATGATTTTTGTAAACCTATGAGCATGTTGCCTGAATTTAAAATCGATTGTATAAATACAAGGCATTAATTTTCTAAATTAAGACTATTCATAGTCTTAATTTAGAAAATTAATGCCTTGTATATGTACAATTGATTTTAAAAAAATTATGTAGTTTTATTGATTATTTTTTATTTAACCAACTTCAAAAGGGAGGAGATTTATCAATTAAACCATACATTACTAATTTATACTATACTCCTTTTGCAGGGTATGGTTTGTCATTGCCCTTTATCGGAACCCCAGCCAGGATTTTTTTAGCTACTGTATAATTTTTGTATATTATGTATAAGTTTATTTAAAATACATATTATTAAGAATCTGACATCTACATATTATTATAAATATCATACTGAAATTAATAGTTTACATTTAATAAGTAGAGTACTTCTCTAGTTGATAGTTGATAATCAATAAAATGGAAACTAACTTGAAATTGGATTGAGGTCATAATTAACTGAATTAGAATAGGAAATGATAACAGGCCAAAATTATTATATATATACTTGGAAAAGTTGGGAGCAGACTGATAGAAAAATATTGAATGTTAGGGGTTCCCTAACATTTAATGTCATGGATTTCCGCAAAGTAACGCCTGATTCTATAAATTATAGAAAAATATTGACCAGAATAGGCATGTATATTATATCATTTACTTTTATAGATTAATGTTAGGTTTTTTAATGAAAGGTAATTACAAACCCTTTGATTAAGTAAGTTATGTTATAGGTAGGTATGTGCATTTTTAGTTTAAAAAGATAGGTAATGTTTTTTCTTATTTTTTTCCTTTGTATGTTTTTAATCCTAAAGTTTAGTTTATAATTAAGGTGTTGTATGATTTCTTTTTGATTGTGTTATGTTGGTTTAAATTAGTAAATAAGTACTTAGATTTAGTTATAGGCCTACGCTATCGTATTGGAGAAATCTGTAATGGTATAAGGTAAGATTTTTAAATAAATGTCTAGGAATTCTAACATTTTAATAAATCATTTAAGAATAGAAAGGTTACATGAGTACAAGATACATTCAAAATATAATGAGAAATACTATATATTCAAAGTTTAGTTTAGTATATTTTAGTTTTCAATTCTTATGTCACAACTTTCACATTTTAATTAATAAGCTAATCAAAAAGTTCTTAACATTTTTTATAAAATAAATATTTGGCATAAGTAACTTCTGAAAAAACAAAAAAATATTTTTATAAATTATTTTCTTGTGTACTGTGAACAATTATTAAATCTTAAAAATAATGTGTTATTACACAAGAATGAGAGATAGAAATGGGAAATCTCGCGAAATGACATAATTAGAAAGTACATTCATTCTACTGCTGCCAAAATACATGACTTTGTGTCAAAGACAGGCTGTAGAACTATTATTTTTGTTATTTGCCACAAATTATATTTACAAACCTTTTGTTACTGCGCTCATTTATACATTTTCAGAATATAACTGCATAAAGAAAAAAACCTAATCGGTTCTCGCCAATTCAAAGCGCGCGACCTCGCGAAATTGCTGTACAATCTTATCTACAATATTATAAACACTTAGCATTTTTAAATCCATATGGAAACAAAGTAAATCTTACTTTACTAATTCATTGTAGCCATCTATGTACGCTTCGATGACAACGTCATCTTCTTCTTTCAGGCTTCTTTGGAAACTCTGGTGGACGTGGTGTAAGTCCAAAGCGTTTTCGTTCGACATTTCTTTCAAAATAGTGTAAAATAATTTTGAATCACTAGTATACAAACGACACCACTTTCCATCAACTGACTGATATTGAGACTGACGTTGTCGTTTCATTTGACGTTGTCATTATCATGCATTATGATTCTTAGCTCTTAGCTACCCACTTACCCAAAGTATAAATATATGAATAACGAATCAATAATTTTCTTAAATAATTACCTAGGATTAGGCAAGACAAAAGCATCATTTACGAAATATGACTAACAATCTCTAGTTTTGTGAACAATTATTTTACTGGTAACTTCTGTGTACTCATTATTGCATTTTTATTTGATTAATTTCATTTTTATTTGTCATTACTGTCTTATGATAAGTTAATAAGTTATTTTTATTTCTGAATCCCAAAAATTACCAAAATTTTATTTGTTTTGGTTTTATATTTCGTTTTGTTAGTACTTTTGCAAATCATGTGATTCATTCAAATTCTAACGTCATATTATTTCATTCATCAATTTCGAACTGTCAGACAGATGACTGTCAGTGTCAAAAATATCCCAAGGTCTTGGAGTGAATATCGTCCTCTGCTATCTAAAAAATATTTACATTCGTTTTCATAGAGATAGTAAAGTGCTGACGATAACAAATAAACGCTTAGTGAATTTGCATATTATGTAAAATTCAGTGTATATGAACGCAATAATAATCATATTTCAACATCCATCGTATAGAATTATCCGGTAAGTGTTATTTTTCTACCAACATGCAAAAATATGACAAGTTTCACAATTTATTTTTAGTTACGGCGTCGAGTGGCTCTAGCACACAAGTATTCAGGTTAATCAGTGATACGCGGTTCCTTTAATAAGTGCTCATTAGTGTGAATTTTGCATAATTTCAATATTTTACATTTATTTCTTGGAAGTGCGTCTCATCTCTCGCGTCTCTCATTGTTTACAAAGGGACTTCCCGTTTGGATTCGTCTAACTTGTTACGAAGGTTAGTTTTATTGCTATTTATCTCCCACTGAGTTGCTCATTTCTACTGTGAGTAATTTTGATTAATTATTGGATAATTTTAGCTGTCGATATTAATGAGGATTTTATCTACTTAGGTATATCAATTTAATTGTTAAGAACTGCTGTCGGATTTGGTTGTCTTAGAATATTGGTGAGTGTCCTAAAAGTTATAAAATATTTATAAATATTTTTTGGATTGCTCATATTCACAGTGGATCAACAATTTTTTTTTTTGTGCCAAAATGTAGCAATATATTAACTATAGTGTTGTTATAGATAGTGTGAGGGCTTTGAACATAAAAATTTATTATTATATTAATGCAGAACAGTTATGTAAGTTAAAATTGATAACAAATCATTGCTGGTCACAGTAGTTTTCATTGTTCAGTATTAAACTAAACTTTTTGTTTACATAAATAGTCTATGATTAACCATATGGTTGGACCATTTGAGATGATTTAATTTTTTCATGCTGTTGGTAAAATAAGTGCTTAAATATGCAAGCATATAAATGCTAAATTTGCATAGCTTCTAGCAAGAATAGTAAATAAAATAATGCTATCTATCATAGACAAATAACATCAGAACAGAGGGCCTTATCAAAGAATTGCATGATATTCTCACAGTTGACACAGTAATTTATGAAGTTAAATTAAAATAAAATAAATATTATAACAATTCAATATAATAGTTTCTTTGCATGCAAGCTATTTATTTTATATATTGTTGACTTTAATTAAAAACATTCAGCATATAAAGTGTAATTAAAAACATTCAGCATATAAAGTGCATCTTGAATGCATTCAGACGATTCTATATTCAAAAATTGACAGTTTAATAAACTGGTTTTGTTTATAGAGATAAAAAAGAGTATTTAATTCATTTTGGTTATTGTTTGTTGATGTTGTGGAGGTATGTGTTAATTTATTATTTTTACTACCATTTGGTCATGTAGGTATTATTATTGATATATTTTTTGATCTTAATATTGCCTTGGCCTATTTTGTCTGTTTTGTATTGATATCTGTAAGTTTCTTTGTTAAATTACTTTTATCCATTCTTTAGCTACCAGCAACTCTTAATTTTCTATTGACTTCTTGATGCGAAAGTATTTTATATTCTGTTTTATTCTTGTTCTTATATTTTAAAATAAAAAAGCAAGCATATGATATTCTTTTATGTAATACATATGTTAGTTGAATTATAAAATAAACATAAAAAGCATACAGTAACAATTAAAAATTAAAATTCATAAACTAGTGAAAGGAAAAAGCAATGTCATTTCAGTTTGAACAGTTGGTTTGAGGCTTCTTTTTCATAATATTCAGAATATAAATTATACCTATTTCGTAATTTACACAGTGGGCACTTTATAACGACTTATATATACCTGTCTTATACATACATATAGAATAATTTAGTCTTTTCCTGAATATCTGACAAACCCTTGTGTAAGAAACTTTAACAATTCAATTAAAATTGAACTGTACTACAACACAAGTTTACTTGTTATCTCATCAATGTTTATGTAACAAAAACTTTCTCTCATTATAATTCAAATAAGTAGTGAAACATTCTTGTTAATTTTGCCTTAAGAGTTGTTGTAAGTTTGTAAGTTTAAACCTGGTGACTGCCAGCTTCATATAATTCATGAGAAATTATTATCTCGGCATGAGTTTGATAAAGCTTCAGACTTTAAATCCTGTCTGTCCATTGAATTTTTTGTAATTTGAGATGATGTTTAATATTGAACTACAATGGTTGTATTCAAAGAAAACTAGCTTACATAATGTATGTATGTAATATTGCAACATGCAAGAAAAAAACACCTAAATTCATAAAACTCCAAACACGAAAGGTGGCTTTCACACACCTATATTGTTCTTCTATTTTGTCTCGAATTGCCAAGATTGATAGGTTAGTAATATTTCTAAGGTAGGTATTTAGGACAATTCGTACTGGCCTTACATTTGCCCGGCAGCCCTAGCTGAACAAAGATCATGTTGGGCCACACCTGTAGTGGTATAATGGCACTTTGGCGCATGAGGAACGCGCTAAAGTTCTGGTTGGACAGCTACACTTGCTTGCCGTCCATACGCATACCCGCGCTTAGGCCGGAGATCGTCGCTCGATCCCCGACGCCCGGAATGTCGCCTGTCTAAGCTGCAGTGACGTAAATATCCCCTTAGAAACTTCAAGGAACCAAAGCCTGCATCAGCCGTGAAATAACTTCTTTTTTATTGACAGACAACATACCTACTTTTTGCCTTATCAACCTTGATACAAGGTTGAAAAAATGGCTTTGCTAACTAATAAGTTCAGTGAACTCTGGAAAAACCATAAGAAAACATATTAAAATTAAATATCTGGAATATTATTTTAATGGCTTCACATGGAAGCTAATTATTGTTTACATTTAAAATGATATTTATTTTTTGTCAAATAATCACTGACTCTGACTAACGTTACTTGTTGATGGTGAAATCATCAAATCACTTTCCCGTCCTGGGTGGGGTCGATCAGGCTCTTAGTGACGAAAAACCACGTTGTTCCCTCTCCTGATCCGTGTCGGGGCCGCGTTACATTTTAACTCCGGGCGGTGATTTGATTAGGCATTTGACTGCCGACAAAAACTGTTGAAGGCTAACCCTCCGCTAGCGTCGGACAGCATTGTCCGACATGGCGTTCTAAGTGTTAATAAATCTCAAAAGCTTTATAAATAATAATAATGTGCAATACGACTGCATCTTTGGCACGAATGGTTCGGCTCGACCGGAGTGATACCACGACCTCACAGAAAACCGGCGTGAAATAACCACAGCGTTGTGTTTCGCCGTGTGATTGAGGTTATCGGAGGCCCAATCCTTCCCCTCCCCCAATCCCTCCTCAATCCCTAAATCTCCAAATCCCTAATCCCTAAAAGGTCGGCAACGCACTCGTAACTCCTCCGTTGTAGGTGTCCATCGGCGGCGCTGATTGCTTACCATCAGGTAATCCGTCTGCTCGTTTGCCGGCCTATAACATAAAAAAACTATCGTAAGATTTACTAAATTTCAGTCGACTGCGCGACGAGCGCGCTGCTCATGAATAAGAGTCCCATTGTGACTTGAAACTAGTAGAGCTTTTCTCAGTTAATTCTCGTAATTAAGTCGTTATTATTTAATGAAGCGCAATTTGGATATTTACACACATACAAAGTGGTGAACAAAGTTAGGTACATAGAGTATGATTGTAAACAGTCCCATTTAAATAATTATGATAAGGTTTTATGTAAACTATAAAACATTTATTTAATTATGGTTGTAGGTCAATGAATTTCTAACGATATCTACATAATAGATATTGTTTAACGTAATGTTTTTTCTCGAGCTTCGAATCAAAACAATAACAATTTACGTTGGCCGACATTTCATTATTATGTAAACATTAATTTAAACAATACGGAAAACAATGTACTTAGTTTTGTCGATTTCCTTATGTATCCATAGTATAGTATAGGTAATTTTACTTATTTATAAGTGCGAAAGTTACGATGTTTGTTACTCAATCACGCCAAAACGTCTGGACGGGTCTAGATGAAATTTAACACAGGCATAGGATACACTCCAGAATAGGACATAGGCTACTTTTTATCAACATACCACGCAGGCGGAACACTGACGTACCTTAATATACCCGAGTCATAAAACTTAATATCTTAATTAGTATCGTTAAGTGTGGGAGAGCCATGCTTCGGCACGAATGGGTCGGCTCGACCGGAGTGATACCACGGCCTCACAGAAAACCGGCGTGAAATAACCACTGCGTTGTGTTTCGCCGTGTGAGTGAGGTTACCGGAGGCCCAATCCTTCCCCTTCCCCAATCCCTCCTCAATCCCTAAATCTCCAAATCCCTAATCCCTCAAAGGTCGGCAACGCACTCGTAACTCCTCCGTTGCGAGTGTCCATGGGCGGCGCTGATTGCTTACCATCAGGTAATCCGTCTGCTAGTTTGCCGACCTATTACATAAAAAAAAAATCGTGGTATATTGAGAGACTCAAGTCGAGTTGTGAACGTAAACGAGCTATTCATGATGACGCTGAATAACGTTAGTGTTCCTACTCCAATATCTGTATAATTAAATCAAATGTATAGATCACTCTTACTATTCGTAATTATTACGTAAACAATTATATTGCAATAACTACCTGCACTTATATTTTAAGTGTGGGAGATACAAGCTTTGGCACGAATGGGTCGGCTCGACCGGAGTGATACCACGGCCTCATAGGAAACTGGCGTAAACAACGACAGCGTTGTGTTTCGCAGTGTGAGTGAGGTTAACGGAGGTCCAATCCTTCCCTTCCTCCCATGCCTCCTCAATCCTTAAATATCCAAAACCCTAATCCACAAAAGGCCGGCACGCACTCGTAACTCCGTTGCGGGTGGGTGTCCATGGGTGGCGCAGATTGCATACCATCAGGTCATCCGCCTTCTCATTTGCCCAAATATTTCATTTAAAAAAATAAAATTGCATGCACATACAAATCAATTGGCGCCCCGTCTTCTTAGAAAAGAGATAATAATATATAAACTTGTATTGTCTATTGAAAGTGTAAGTGCGAAACGTCACACTTGCTAAAATAACATTATATTACAAGAGGTCATTGCTCTATTATTTGAAGTGTAACTCACCTATTTAGTTTGGTTGACTCACAGTTTGAAAGACCGAAAATGAGAACTATGGATGGATGTATCGCACTCTGCTACTAGTCTTATATTTCTAATTTCGATTAGTTTTCATTAAAATTCTACTCCTACAACTTCTACCAGCGGTTCGTAAAGTTGACGTAAAAAGTGCCAGTGGGTTATTTTAAGCTAGCTAGCCAGATAGACCATAGGCGAATCTATACTAATTTTATAAAGAAATTAGTAAAATTAGTTAGTTAGTATGTAGGGGGTAATCTTTGGAACCACTGGCCGGTTTCCCAAAATCCTTTATTGATAGCTACAAAGTTCCTGAGTGCTATAGGCTATAAAACATCACGCTACAATCATTATACGATCAGCGGGTGAAACCGCGTGAGAGTAGCTACTAACTAATCAATTTGAAACTGCCGTGATCGATACATTGAAAAACTTTTTGAAGCAAAAGCTCGATATTCTATCTCCCATGTTTGATTTAATTTCAAATAAACTATTTTTCTTTCTTTCTTTCTAATCTCCATTCTCTCATTTTTCCAGATTGATGTGAGATGATGAGTACAATAGTACAAAACGGGGACGAAGATTCGTTTATCATTTTGGGAACTTCTCCTGGCTCCAGTCTGGACATGAAGTGTCTTGAGAACGGCCTTGAGACCGGCGAGGTGACTTTGGATAAGGAACAAATGGAGGAAGCCATGAAGGACCTCTCTGATGAAGCCAATATGGCTTTCAAGGCGCATTTTAAGCTTGGAGATTGTGTAAGTAAATTTTATTCTTTGGATTTTTACCAGAACAGTGAACCAGAAGTCTTTAGGGCTGGGTAGTGGGTACTCTCTTACACGTCTTTTAAACTGACATAATGCCTGAGCTCGTCCCACTTACATAGGTTATATATTCCACATTTGTGCTGCCTGTATCGTAAATAGTTTGACTGCACGGTTGGGGCGGTGGCTGGGCCACTGGCGCGGATTCGATTCCCGTACGGAACAGCTCTTTGTGTGTAGTCCAAAAATTGTTGTGTCTGGGTGTTATGTGTATGTAAAATTGTATGGTTTGCACCCACGACACAGGAGAACTTTTTAGAACGATTTAAAAAAATATGGCTTGTCGTAAAAATAGCTGTGTAAAGATAGATGATCTCAGGAACTTAGAGTGTGTGTCACCAAGGAACTCAAAACGTTGTTTTTGATAAAAAGGGGCTACAGCTGCAGGATGGAAGAGTACGTTATAGGGTAGAGAAAGTATATGAGCATACCGGCGAAGGTGAATTGGTAGCCATTTGAGCTCACTACGAAATTTTAATATTTTATCACATTTCATCATCGGCTTATTATTTCATACTCTGTTGGGCCTCTCCAATAATTTAGATGTCAACTTTAAGAATACCATAAGACTGCTGTACTTTTAACTTAAAAAAAATTAAGTATTTTCGTTGGTGCCTTGTCGAAGTAAGTCTTGTAAAGGCTAGTCTCTTTTTTACTACTAAGTAACTAATATTTATTTTTTTAGGTATGTCCGCGTCTGGTCATACGAAATGAATACACCACACATAAATAGATTGACTAATCATTTTATTATCAACATATTTAATCAAACGACGAAAGATTATTGTGGACATTTTAGTCCCTAATGAATAACGTATATGTATACGAGTAGCTATGAAGGTATCATATCCGTGACGTGAAAAGGAAAACTATCGCTGATTCATCATGTTGATACTTTTCTATTATCTGTGCGTGCTTATCCACATTATGTATCACCTATGTTTTTCGTTTTGTACGCAAAATGCTTGTGAATGTTTACACGTTGTAGCCATTTATATCCTGTGGCGACATAAATATCGGATATACGATTAAGTTTGTATTTAATATGATATTCAGTGACAAAATGCAAAAGGCATGATGCAGACTACTGCAAATATTGTCATATGAGACTTATTTGTTTGGCTACCATATTAGTATAGCATACCATAGCGTGGTTCAAATACGTTTTGAAGTAGTAGCTACGAATCGATATACATACACACATTCATATCATGTCGGGCTCCGGGTTGCGGGAGCAAGCGCAATTAGGAACAGAGTGGTTTTTAGTCAATAAAAGTTGACACTCGGTTGAGAAGAGTGACTTGGTCATCAGCCTATAATTGCCCACTGCTGAGAAAAGGTTACTTAAGGTGGATTGACGATTTCAAACTTATATTTCGAAGTCATAAGTCCAGGTTTGACCCTTATGATATTGATGATGTTTTCCTTCATCGTATGCCAGTGGTTTCTAATAATCATAGAAAATGCATATAACTCGAAAAAAATCACATCGGTGCTTGCTTAGTTTAGCCCGCACCCTCATGCATGTGAAGCGAGCGCTGTAACCTCCGGACCACCATGCCGATGGTATTATTTACCAGCTTGACCCATGATTTTCTCACTCAGAAGAAAGTGTCGTCACGCCCATATTTTTGGTAGGCAGAGATAATTGAACGCGAAATGATACGATCTTTACTCTTTCGCTTCTTCAACTATCATTAATCTCTTTATCTATGTCGATTGAGTTTAACTGGATCATTTTCAAACTATCGACTATTTGGTCGATTTATGTTTATGCCGACGTTACGTCTACCTAAGCATAGGTACACGCTAGTTAAACCTTTTTTGTAAATCTTAGGTATGATAAACACACTTTGCGTAGGCACATATATCCCCGTGTATGCTGCCAATACGGTAGTTTCCAACTAGTCAAATTCAATACTTTTATTTGACCACATAAATCCCTAACAACTTACAAAAACCAAACAATTGTCACTCCTTGAGTGTCCATGTTTGCGGTGCTACATGCTTACCAATAGATGAACAGTATTCTTCATTGCCGATCTAGTATAAAAAAAAAGAATACGGTAGTTTCCAACTAGTCAAATTCAATACTTTTATCTAAATGTCAAAATCGTTTTTCCTATCTTTTTTATGAAATTTGTATGAAAAACTGAGTTATTTATGACGTCATAGTATAAATTGCGTCAAATAGAGTACTTCTTTCTTAAAATTAAGCTTGAAAATATCTAAAATTTAGTGTATCAATGAATAAAAGTATAGTTATTTTTCGATATTTCATTGTATTAAAATGTCGAATTAATTTATTTTTGAACTAGGAAACTACCCTTCCTAAAAAAAGAGCTATCTGCGCCTTAGGTCTCGAGACTTTATGCTGGGGAGTTAGGCTTGTGGACAAATGTAACAGATCATAAATCAGCATTACGGCGAAGTTTCGTATTCTTATTATGTATAACACTTGAAAGTACTTTCCGGCTTGAACATTGTCGCTGATCTGGTTTTTTTGACCTACATCCAGATTTACATAACAGTGCCTTAATATGGTAGATTGATTTGTGATAAATGTATGTAAGTTTAAAGCTCTACCTTGTTATTTGGATTTGGTGGAAATACTAGCTGGCGGTTTCTTTAGTCCTTATCCAAACTTTATACTTTAAATTACTTACTCGTATTTGATTTGATTCGCAGTGTAATATTGAGCGAAACTGAAAAATGTTCCATCTATACAGTTTGCTAGAAACTGAAAGTTACTACGGCATTTTTGTTTTTGTGAAGGGAAATTCATTAAATGTCTTTTCTCGTCCAAGGTAAGGGTATAAGGCGAGAGGAAATGTCAGACTCTTACTGACTAAAAATCCCCAGTTCCTTTTCCTGTTCCAAGCAGAGGCCTCGGTACCTAATAGCGCTTGTCTCGCAACCCCGCCTGAATATCAGCTCCGTCTGTGGTGGTCTATTGGCTCTTTGAGCCGAGCGCGGAACGCTACGCGCCGTACGCTCGGGGAACTTGTGACAAAAATTAAGATCTTTTCAAAGTGTCATCTTTTAAGTGTGGGAGAGCCATGCTTCGGCACTAATGGGTCGGCTCGACCGGAGTGATACCACGGCCTCACAGAAGACCGGCGTGAAACAACCACAGCGTTGTGTTTCGCCGTGTGAGTGAGGTTACCGGAGGCCCAATCCTTCCCCGCCCCCAATCCCTCCTCAATCCCTTATCCCTAAAAGGTCGGCAAGGCACTCGTAACTCCTCCGTTGCGGGTGTCCATGGGCGGCGTTGATTGCTTACCATCAGGTAATCCGTCTGCTCGTTTGCCGACCAATTACATAAAAAAAAGTATTTTTAAAGTGACTTTTAAAACCTGTTCTTGAACTTGGTACATATAAAGTAATATAGTACTTCACGCTTCATGCGTTATTTTGTGTACAGCTTAAAATATCGTTGCATATTTTTGTAACTTGATGGAAGACAATCCTGCGTAATCATGACAACTTGGGTTTTTTGTAGTAAGTTATTATTGATAATCCAGGTCAATAGGTGATGTCGATATGGACCAACATAAAGAACAACAAAGCCGATAAAAATAATTGGAGATGACAATAAAATAATGTGCGTTTTAATGACGTAGACATCAATACTACTGTCATGGACTTGGACTAGCTACTGCTCTGCTCCTACCGATCGTAGCGTGATGTTTTATAGCCAAGAACTGTATTGTGTAATTAAAGTTTCTATCTATCGTTTATTTCTACGATGTAGTGAAATGAAAACACATATATGTCTACAATATCCCTTATCTCTTTCAATCAATATTTCACGTTATGATAAGCGCCTGATGCAATCATGATTCTCAATAATATCCGGTAGTTTTTTGTTTACGATAGATACTATTATTTTTCACCCATTTGTGTCATTTTGAGGGGGAATTTCACCATTTGATTTCTTCCGACCCGGTCGAGAGTGTATTTCACACTCTTATTGACTAAAAACCATGGTTCTTTCTGCTCAGAGCCCACAGTAACCCCGGGTAAACATTGTACCTATTGGGCCCTATTTTTCGTAGCCTATTTGAGGCACGCGCGGTACACAGGCTTGGGTCAGGCGGCGAGCTTCCCTTGCTCACCGTCCGCAGACTCGTGCTTATAGTGACCGGAATTAATCGCTCGATCCTCGACGCCGGGAGTGTCGCCTACTGCGGCGCTTGGGGCGTGATTAGGATAGTTTCATCATGGCGCCCCGCCTCCGTCTTTGAGATCATAACTGCTTAGCAGAAAAAAGAGAGAGAGAGAGAGAGAGAATAAGAAGCGACTTCCTATTTTTTTTGACACATTACAAATAACTGGGCTTTTAATACCATGACAAGATGATCGATGATGATGACATAAATTTTGCCCAGATTTTACTTTTACTTACTTGTGTATCTTTTATTTAATAATGATCCTATACAACCGCAAATTCCACCACATTTACACATCGCAACCATTCAAGAAAAAAAGAGTTATCTACTCTTGCTCCGTTCGTAGTATTCAGGTCCATGTTTAGTCCAAAAAAGGCCAGGCACTTCATTGATTCCCAAAACATATGAATATCAGTATAATTAATAAATTGTCACTTTGTATGCAAATGTGAATGTTTTTCCTGTAAAAGTAGAACTGTTTATTGTTTGTATCTGACACAGTTTGAATCATGCCTTTGTAGTGTTGCACATATTCTCTCATTGTTAGGTATGAACTTGATAATTGAAGATTCATTGAGCAGGGAATTTACGCTGTACAGTCGCGGGCTTATGATTATTTTAAATTGCACGTTTAGTTGTGTTACTGTTTCATTGAATAATTTTTCAAACAAGAGTAGAAGTTCTTGACTTACAATAGTGACACGGGACAACTATGTTTTTGCTCAGTTATTGGAGCAAAGTGTGTTTCGGGTTTTTGTTGATTTTTTATCTGAATGCTCGGCAAAAGAGCAGACTCATGACCTGTAGGCGTGAATCTTCCGGATGAGAAAGAGGGATGGAGCTATACTCTTGAGGCCTTTTTTTTGTGAGGGGAAAATCATCAAATGACTTCTCGCGCCCAGGGCCGGGCGGGAGGGAGTGTCAGACTCTTACTGACTAAAAAACCCCCTGTTCCTTCTCCTGCTCTGGGCCGAGGTCGTGGTGCCTCATTGCGCTTACCCCGCAACCCAGGCTGATACACTTTATGCCTACCATGACGGGACGGACGGACGGGACGGGATGGAGCTATACCTACACTTTGTACAGCTCCATCCCTCTTTCTCGCCTGCAAGATTCATGCTTTAACACGTCATGGTAGGCTCTCTGATCGTAAGCAATCGGCGCCACCCATGGGCACACGCAACACCAAAAAAGTTACAAATGCATTGCCGGCCTTTTATGGATTGTTAGGGATTTCTGGAGATAATAATACATGAACCAGGATTTTTATCATACTTAATACCACCTATCTGAATAATACACTGAATAAAGGTCATGGAAAGCCAGATTAGCTCGATACTTTTACTTAATATTTACGTTTTTTTTACTACGTCACAAATGTGTTGCACGCCCCGGGCTTTTTTTTTAATTTATCATAAATTATCAGATGTCGTGTTGTTGTTATCACTGTAATCAATCAGTAAATAAATTTAACTTACAAGGAAGTCTGTGATATGTTTACATATATTACTTGATCGTTAAATTAATCCTTGACAAGGCTGTGAATACATTATTGGTGACCGGTAGCTATAATTTCATGTTTGTATAAGTAATAAATGTGGCTTTTCTTGTTCCCCTCCGAGTTATTCCGTTGTTTTTCCATTGTTCCTATCACTTTCTTGTAGTTGTTAATATTTTTGCGAACAGAATGAGTATCTATACTAATATAATAAAGAGGTAAGATTTTTAGTTTGTAGGTTTGTATGTAGGGGGTAATCTATGGAACGGCTGGTCGGATTGCGAAAATTCTTTCACTGATAGATGAATGCAATGTTTCTTAGTGCTATAGGCTAAAACATCACGCTAAGATCAAACGGAGCCGAGCAGCGGGTGAAACCGCGCGAGAGTAGCCAGGATAAGGATAAGTGGAGTTTTATTCTAAATGAAAGATTAGGAGAGAAGAAGAAATTATTAAAAACTGTTTTCTCCCGTCCTGGTTGAGGCGAGAGGGTGATTGCAGACTTAAAAACTATCCCATTCCTCCTCCTACCATGAGCCGGGATATGAAAAAGCAAACTGCGTCTTAAAATGCAGATTTGATTATGAACTATGTTATTCTGTCACTTATGTATGACTAGCTACTATCGTGCGGTTTCACCCGCTGCTCGACTCCATGTAAGCGTAGCGTGATGTTTTATAGCCTATAGCACTCAGGAACATTGTAGCTATCTATCAGTGAAAGGATTTTAGCAATCCCACCAGCAGTTCCAAAGATTACCCCTTACATACAAACTTACAAATTTTACCTCTTTATAATATTATGATATAGAAGTTTAGACAAAGCTACCTTAAATCCCTTGATTAACACAATATAACCCATGCACACAGATCTTACTCCACTTATCTATCCCCTGGAGAAATTAACGCCACTGCCAATGAATCACCAACTTTACTATACAAACCGACTTTTTTCGTTTCCAAGTTTGCTAAGTAAATACATTTCTAATCAGTGTTGTGTTTGTGTTGCGCTTGCCTGTGTGTGCATAGCTTTAGCTTGCGGCACGTGTCACTCCGAAGGGGGTTTACCTTAGATAATTCTGTGGAGGAAACAATTTACAGGTTGCACTAACAAAGTAGATAGCATTCATTTTATTCTAGACTCCGTTTGAGCTCGGTTTTGGATCCTATTTGGTTTTTGGTTGTAATAAAAGTTTGGTCCTTAAGTGTACTTTAAAAGCCTGTCTGCTAAAAAGGTGTTTCTGGTTAGTTTATTATTACTGAAATTTGCCATTGCCTGGGCATTGGATCAGTTGGAATTGGAGAAACTTTAGGTTAGTTCCATTTTGGTTTTTCGTATGTGTCTTGGGAAGTACTGTAAATAAATGTTTTTTTCTGACTTACTTATCAAATTAGTCCTCGAATTTTCAGTTATAGACGAGTTATGACAAAAATAACCGCATCTCGGTCTTAAAAGGTCCAAAAAATATTAACCAATTGGTTCTTACAAATTTTTTTCTTCTTCCTCCAGCCGTCTCCGGCTAGCATGATGGTAGCCAGCACCATTATCACGGACGACAGGAGCACAGAAGAGCTTCAGAAGAGATTTGGAGAACTTCTGGATGAAAATGTGATATTGAAGGAGACTTTAAAACAGAATAATGAGTCGATGAAAGAACAGTTCCTGTTAATAGCGTCCTGCCAGGAAGATATGATGAAGACCCATGTTCTTCACAAGGAGAAGTTTGAAGAGACCAAAGGATTGGTGGAGAAGGTAAGTCTTTTTTTGTCTTTTCAGTATAATAGTTTACTTTATAGTTTTTAGCTTATTATTTTGTGTGAATCATGACTATTGAGGCATTTATGCCAATCTTCGAATAAGGCCATATTTCAGATATTTTAAAAAGTTTTCGTCAAAAACACGTTAGTTATTCATTTCGGTTTATACTTTCGCAACTGTTCGATGAGGTTGCTCGAGCTCGACTATTTTCAAGCTATGATAAGGGCTCATAGTCTAACATCGTATAGTAATTTATCATCATATCGTTTTGTAAAGTAATTTATCAAAAGAAATTATTGAACTAGTGGTTAGATGTTTCGAAAAGCCCTCGAATAACTTCATTAAAACAATCTAAGTACTAAATAATGCGAACAAAGCCTCAACATTTGGCTTGGACAGATAAGCCCGTTCTTGAACATTACAATAAAAAGTAGAATCGATATTTGTAGGTAGATAATACTGATTTAAAACGGGACTGAACTTTCTTCCAAGTTATTTATTTTATATATTATGAATCATGAATTATTATGAGTCATAATCTGATGTTTTTAAGCAAGTATTATATTGTAGGTACCTAGTAGACATTCTTATCAAAAGATATACTGAAAAGAAGGTTTTACCTACAGTTAGTTCTAAGCCTACCCTTAAAGGGAATGACAGATAATAGTACTTATCATCCTTACTCGTCAAGTCGTGGTAGTCTGGATGTGAAGGCCCGTTTCTTAAGCATGATGGGTCGATCTCTGACTAGTAACCAAGTATCCATGTGACTTTACGATTAATATGCACCATGTTGATTCTTTAACCACATGATTTTCAATATACTATTGTACAGAATGGGAAATTTAGAGAGCCAAAGGCTAGTATCCACAATTAGTAGATACTTAGATCCAATGATAATATAAGTAAAAAAGTGTAGATAGATTACAAGCGCTCAAAAAGTGATACATAAAGATGTGGCTAATTAGCCACACTTTTTCAAATTTGTCTCTTTTTCACGCGCCATTATTGAATCATGCCATCCCACTTTAACGTGTATCATACGCTTTATTCTTGTGTGCATTAGTGTGCCGTTTTTGAAAATCGAATTTTGTTTATGTAACCAATCTACACCTTTTTACTTATAATATCATTGCTTAGATCAATACAATGCTACCTACTATTGTAGATACTATGATGCCTTATGAAAAGAACAAAGTGTCCAACCTTTCATTTGTATAGGAGAGCCACACTTCAGCACGAATGGGCTGTCTGTACTGATAGGTACTAGGTGTGAATAGAATAGAAATGAATAACTGTATTGTAAAAAAAAAAAGAATTGTAACTCTTCGGTGTCGCGAGCGTCCAATTGCTTACCAAAAGATGAACCATATACTCGTCTGCCGCTCCATACCTCTAAAAAAGCAGTAACACCATCTTTATCCATTCTTCCACAGCTTCGACAAGAAAACAAAAAGCTGAAGTCTGAAATAGCGAAGTTAGCCGACACCGAAGCTAAGTCTCTAGTCAGCAGTGAAACCGGAGAGTCAGTTGTGGCAACCAATGTTGGGGATCCTGTGCCTTCAGGACCATCATCAGCTCTGGAGTTTGTGACGTCACCAGACGATGATACTATCAACAAATTAACCTCGCAGTTGGAGCTGGTGGAAAAGCAAAGGAGACAGGTAAAATTATTACCTATATATTTTATACTAGCTAACCACGCTCGGTTTCACCCGCTGCTCGGCTCTTTGAAATCATAGCGTGTCGTTTCATAGTCTATAGGCTTCCTCAAAAATGGATATTTCAACCAAGAATTCTGGAGATTAGCTCGTTCAAACAAACTCTTCAGCTTTATAATATTAAGTATAGACTATCGACCCATCCCTGTTTATCACGGGTGTAATGCTGATACTAAATTTCTCTATTATTAAATGCACGTTTTTATACAAATAAACCTTCCTCTGCAATCCACCACAGACTTGGTCCAATAGGGCTGATGTTCAGCTGGGGTTGCGGGGTAAGCGCAATGAGGCACCGCGACCTCGGCCCAGAGCAGGAGAAGGAACGGGGGGTTTTTAGTCAGTAAGAGTCTGACACTCTCTCTCGCCTTACCCTGGCCGGGAGAAGTCATTGGAAGATTTTCTCCTGAAAAAAAAAATGCCGGGCCCACCGTTCATTATTGCGTTTCACCCGTGACTCCGGATCCGACAGTACAAGAGGCCTGTTCTTTCTTTTCCATGGGCGAAATTTATAGTATTTTCTTCATATACTTACAGGTTATAGTAGAAAACGAGAAGCTGACTTGGCAAAAGGAGTCCTTGGAACACATAGTGGATGCCACATCTAAAGAGAGGGATGACCTAAAAGAAAAACTGAAGAATGCCGAGGTAAGATTCTTTAAATATTTTTTTTTCACAGTAGCTGTTTATCCAAAATGTATACTACGACATTGATACTTTCACACGCATTGGTAAACATGTTTACAAACGGTTATTGCTCAGAATTAAAAAAAACAAAAGATCTCCAAATGACATTATTCTGTCAATTATGGAATTCTCTGTTTAGCTCCCTAAAGTTACGCTTACCAATGATAATCATTTTTATTTTGGGAAGCACTGTATCTGGTTTATTTTTTATTGTTCCTCAGTAACACAAACAAGTACTGTACTGGACACATCCGCTTAATATTTGCTTCAACTCGATAAAAGATCCGCTCTCTAGCCATCTAATTGACGAAATATATTGAATTGACGAAAGAAACTGCTAAGTGATAACATAGCGTAATGAGGCATCTCATTACGCTGCGAAGTGCGGTTTACAACTGACTACATGTTCGCTTTCTTATTGGATGATACATTTATGTGGGCGGGGCTTGACGCGTTCGCCGTGAGCAAGCAATAAAATTCGAAACTGATCATGCGTATGTACGTGTATAGGCGTAATAGTAAATACGACTAACATAAATTGACCTTTGAATAATCGAAAAGTTCATACAAAAGAGATCAAGAAAACCTGGTCAGAATAAACAAGTGTAATTTTATTTCCAGCTTCTTCTATCGACCAAGGACACGGAACACGCCGCAGAAGTCGATGACCTCAAGTATACGATACAAGATCTACAAGCACAGGTGCAGTCTGCCAGTAATTATGTAAGTAGTCCTCTGACAGCGGCATTTGTGGTGTACTAGAATATAATCTATCTGTATGCCAAATTTCATTCATTCCATTACCGGAGGCGTAATCAAGACTTTAGGTAGAGGATAGGGCCTAAAGCAGGAGAAGGAACGGGGGTTTTTAGTCAGTAATAGACTGACACTCCCTCTCGCCTTACCCTGGGCGAGAGATTAATTTGATGATTTTCCCTTCACATAAAAAAGGTGGACCGACCACATTGTCAGGGCCAATGGATGCAGGTGACATCTTGTCGTTGGAGGTGGAGTACTTAAGGGGAGGCCTTTGTCCAACAGTGGACGTCTTCCGTCTGATGATGACGATGATGATGATGATAAAGAAAGGGAGAGATATATAGATAGATTGAATAGATAGTATTTGATCCCCCAATCCTTCATCATCGCTCCTGCTGGGGTTGTAAGTGCAAGTGCAAGCACAATAGTTTACCATAGCTCCGACCTGGAGCAGGAGACGGAACGGAGTGGCTTTTAATCAATAAAATTCTGATACCCTCCATCCTGTGCGGGAGAATGGATGGTATTTCAAAACAAAATATAAAAAGCTCCTTAAATCAGGGGTTCTTCCTCATGAGCAGCGTGCGCGGACGCGGCGACATCGCGCAGCCTACGCTAACCCGCGATTTTTAGTTAACTTCAAAAAGGTCCGCTACGCCATTGGATAGGTCTGCTAATTTACCGCTCTGTGCTTTAAACAATATTTATCTGTCCATTTCAGACAAGTATATCATCTGAGGAGGTGGCTAAGCGCGACCAGCAGGTGCACCAGTTAGAAGGTAAAATCGCGGTATTACAGGCAGAACTCAAGACCGCACAGCTCAAAATATTAGACCTGGAAACTGTTAAGGTAATTTCTAGTATTCAATATTTTGATACAGTATGCTCGATTTATTGAAATACTGAAACACAGCTCAGGGAAATCTTCAACAAAAGACGGCAATTGGTGGAACACAAACTTTTATTAATTAGTATTTTTACAATACGGGCGTCACACACCCACGCTTGGCGCCAAAAATTCGAATGCACGCTCGTTCGCTCATAGACAACACGAATCAACTGTCAAAACTGATGACGTCGGCGCATACCTGATGGTAAGCAATCGGCGCCGCCCATGGACACCCGCAATAACAGAGGAGTAACGAGTGCGTTGCCGACCATTTGGGGATTAGGAATTTGGAGATTTAGGGATTGGGGGAAGGGAAGGATTGGGCCTCCGGTAAACTCACTCACACGACGAAACACAACGCTGTTATTGTTTCACGCCGGTTTTCTGTGAGGCCGTGGTATCTCTCCGGTCGAGGCGACCCATTCGTGCCGAAGCATGGCTCTCCCATTGCCCTGCGCTAGTACCCGCAAACCCGTCTCGACATCAGCCCTATTAGGCCACATCACGTACTAAGAGGCGTAGTTTTAAATTTTGTAATGATTTTGTCTCCTAAGTTAACGTAAAACAACTTAATTAAATAGTGAAAATATATTGTTGTACTAGCGGTCCCAGCAAATTTCGTCCTGCCTCGAATATAACATTTTTTTTATTAAGTCATATTCTCTTACATTTTAAACCTTCCCTGCATATCCAGCAACATTTCAAGATTATAATAAACCATGGTGTTTCAGCCTTTCTCGAGGGTTAGCGAGACTAACGAACAGCAATTATTTTTTATATTTTTATTATATTGGTCAACACAAACAATATTATTGTTACGTGCCTGACGTCACGTTCCTGACTATGCGGGCTTGGGTTACGGGATTGGATGAAATGAAACACTAATACCGGTTTTCAGACTTTCTATTGCACTTAAGTTACAGCGTCCACGGAGTTAAGTTATCGGCGTTCCTCTCCAGCAGAGTCCGGCCGTCTGACACAACTTTGCCGTTCACGCTGACTTAACTCACTTAACTGACTGCACTTCACTATTTCACTGCACTTCACTATTTCACTCACTTTTCTTCTTTCTCACTTCTTCCTTTTCTTCCGAATCGCTTTAGACTTAGAACTCAACTGCCAGCGGTGAGCCGCAGTTCCGCTTATATACCCCCGGTCAGGTTCTGGAACATTCAATTTCGTTATTCTTTTTGATCGTCATGCCTCCAGAACCTTCCAATAATTTCGTTATTCATTTTTATTTATTCTCCTTCTCGCTCTTTAATTTTTCATTTCTTTCACACAAATAATTCCAGAAAGTTCGACAAAACTTCTATAAACTAAAAAACTTCATGTTTACGGCGGGACTCGAACTCGGGGTCTCTGTGGTGTAATCCACACGCCTTACCGATTACACCAACTCGTGTTGACAATTCACGATGAAATTTACAATCTCTAGGCAACGTTTGACAACCATCCATTGACGTCATGATGTCAAAGAGTTTGAACCACTTTTCCGTCACACTGCCCCCCTCTTAGATTCGCTCGTCCCGAGCATCGTTGCTGCCGTAATACCTCGCCAACCTGTCTATATGGACAACTTTCAAAGGGCTCCTTGAAGTCTTCCGAATTCTGTAAGTAATGTCATTGATCTTCGTGACTATCTCATAAGGACCTTCCCAACTCGGTTGAAGCTTCGGAGATTTTCCCTTCCTTCTGACTGGATTATGAAGCCAGACCAATGACCCCTCTTCAAACCCAACAGAATTGGCTCGTCGATCATAGCGCGTCTTTGCGCGATCACTAGCTTGAAGACCGGCCCCCCTGATCTGCTCATAAATGTCCAACATTTTTGCCCTTAACTCGTTTATGTAATCGCTAAACTCGGTGCGAGTGTCGCCAGGTGGACAGCCCGATACAAGATCTGCCGGTAATCTCAATTCCCTTCCAAAATTTGCAAATGCAGGCGTCTTTGCGGTACTTTCATGTACAGCAGTCCGATAGGCAAGCAAGAAGAGAGGTATGTAAGTGTCCCAATCTCTCTGATGGCTGTCAACCACCTTTGCTAAGTGTCGCTCCAATGTTTGGTTGAAGCGTTCGACCATTCCATCTGACTGTGGATGATAAGGGGTCGTTCGAGTCTTATGGATTCCCAAAAGTTTACAAGTTTCCTGAAAAACTTGGGATTCAAAATTCCGTCCTTGATCACTGTGCATCTCCAAGGGCACTCCGAATCGGGTGAATACCTCGTTTACCAACTTCGTGGCTACAGTTACTGCCTCTTGATTCGGTATGGCAAAGACCTCCGGCCATTTTGTAAAATAATCCATAACCACTAAAACGTAGCGATTGCCCGAATCAGTGATTGGAAATGGTCCAGCGATGTCTAAGGCTATTCTCTCCCAAGGCATACCAACATTGTAGATTTTCATCGCCCCTCTGCTTCTTGTTTGTGGACCCTTGACAGCTGCACAACTAGTGCATTTCCGGCACCAATCTTCGACGTCATATTTGCAATGCAACCAATAAAACCTCTCCTTGATCTTCACCAAAGTCCTCCTAATTCCCAAATGTCCTCCAGAAGATCCATCATGGAACGCTTTTAATACATCCCTTATTTTTGAACGAGGCACCACCAATTGCAAATGCTCGTCCTTGCCGTTTGTTGATTCCCATTTCCTGCACAGAAGTCCGTTATGCAGCGTAAGGCTTTTCCACTGTGCCCATAAACCTTTCGTTACCGCGCTATATTGGGCGACGTCACTCCAACTTGGCTTGTTACCACTTCGTAGCCACTCCAGTATTGGTTTAATATCTGCATCTCTTTCCTGTTCTAATTTCATCGCATCATCTCCCCATGCCTCGTCAACAGTATCAGTCCTTATCACCTTAAGAAAAGCAGTTTCCTTCTTGGCACAATGCTTGCAATCTTCCACGCATGGGCGTCTCGATAATGCATCTGCGTTGCCATGAATTCTTCCGCCGCGATGTTCGATTTCAAAGTCAAATTCCTGAAGTTGTTCCAGCCATCTGGCTACTTGGCCTTCGGGATCCTTAAACTGAAGCAGCCATTTCAAAGCAGCGTGATCAGTTCTGATCAAAAATTTCCGTCCCAGTAAATACTTCTTGAAATGGTGCAGAGTTTTGACTACGGCCAGCAATTCCCTCCTGGTCACACAATAATTCCTCTCCGGCTTAGATAGTGACTTGCTGAAGTAAGCAATAACCTTCTCCTGCTCTCCATCGCGTTGTGAAAGGACACCTCCTATTCCAATATTGCTGGCATCCGTATCAACTACGAATATTCCTTTCGCGCTGGGGTATCCGAGAATTGGTGTGTTACAAAGCCGTTCTTTTAGTTTTCGAAAGGCTTGCTCACAATCCTCGTCCCAGATAAAGGCACGTTTCTCCTCTGTCAATCGATGCAAAGGCTTGGCAATGTCCGAGAATCCTTTCACAAACCGCCGATAATACGAGCACAATCCAAGAAATGCCCGAACTTGCGTTTTGTCTTTAGGTGTTGGCCATTCCTTAACAGCGACAGTCTTGGCTGGATCAGTCTCAATTCCTCTCTCAGAAATAACATGTCCTAGATAATTCACTTCGCGCTTGAAGAAAGAGCATTTCTTTGGACTCAACTTTAAATTTGCTCCACGCAGCTTGTCGAGTACCTTTTCCAATTTTCTTAGATGATCGTCAAAATCCCGTCCAACAATGATGATGTCATCGAGGTAAACTAGGCAGGTTTCGCCCAGTAGTCCCGCCAGCACCTGTTCCATCAAACGCTCAAAGGTTGCCGGTGCATTGCATAATCCAAATGGCATCACCTTAAATTGCCAGAGTCCCTTCCCAGTTGAGAATGCGGTCTTTTCCTTGTCCTTGGGATCCAAATCCACCTGCCAATAGCCACTTTTCAGATCGATCGTTGAAAACCATTTCATGCCACTCAGTGTGTCAAGTGTGTCATCGATTCTTGGTAACGGGTAGCTATCCTTCTTGGTTACATCATTCAATCGTCGATAGTCTACGCAAAACCTCGTTGAACCATCTTTCTTCTTGACAAGCACGACAGGTGAACACCAAGGGCTAGAAGAGGGCTCTATCACGTCATTTTTCCTCATATCGTCAATCATTTGTTCAACCTCTTTCTCACGAGCGAATGGTATACGTCTGGGCCTTTGACGAATTGGCATTGTATCACCTGTGTTTATTTTATGCTTCACCAAACCAGTTCGGCCAATATCACCATCGCTTCTTGAAAACACATCAGAGAATCGAAGAAGTAAATTTCTAGCTTTCATAGTCTCCACTTTTGTCAGACTTTTGTTTTCGTCTAAGATTTTCGTTACAAAGTCTATTCCCGTACTGTCCTTCTTCACAAGATTTTCCGAGCATTTTCTTATCCAGGCCACTTCTTCCAATACGCCCACAGGCTCTCCTTCTTCAATCGTAATTTTTGAATCACTGAAGTTGAATACCGGAATGCGGTTGACATCAGATGACCCCACGACAGTTCTTGCCGGTAGCCATGAGTTTACGTGTTCCGATTTATCAATCACAGCGCACCTTCGAGGTAAACTTCCTTCCCTCCTCCTAGGTAATGCGATTGGTACGAGAGTCTGTGATTTTGGTGCAAGAACAGTTCTTCTTAAACAACAAACTTTTCCTAGGGTTCCACCCTTCATCGGAATTTCCTCAGTTCCACATAGTAATACTCCAGATTTTAAGTCGATATTACACTGGTGCCCTCGCAGGAAGTCAAGTCCTAGGATGCAGTCATCCAGAATTTTGGCCACAATAACCTCATGTCGATAAACACGTTCCCCAATTTTGATTGTTACATGCAATTTTCCACTTATCGGTATGCACTGGCCGGTAGCTGATTTCATTTGTAGGCCAACAATTGGTTTAAGGTGTTTCCTGATGTTTTGCTCGAGCAGCCGAACATTCATCACCGTCCTTGAAGCTCCAGTATCTAATGTTAGCTGACTGTTTTTCCCATTTACTTGACCGTCTATCACCAGAGTATTTCCATCGTTAGTTTGCTTGATGTAGATTGTTGGGGTTATTCCACTACCGGCCAGCGCCCACCCCGCAGCCCTGGCTGGATTTAGTTTTCCTGCTGGTCAGAAGTTGAGACCGCCGCGTCCTGGCGGTTCACCTTCTTCGGGCAGTCGCTCCGCATGTGCCCACGCTCTCCGCATCCATAGCACATGAAGTTCCGACGGCGTGAAGGTACCTGCTCCGTTGTCGTCATTTCCCGCAGACGTAAGGTACGGGAGTTACCACGCACGGCTTCCACTTCCAATGCATGGGCCAGAGCTTCTTTCATGTTCTTGTGATGGCCCAGATGAACAGCGGCTCGTACTTCGGGGTCCCGAATACCGTCAATGAACGCTTGGAGAAGCGTGCCTTCAATCATTGACGGAGTCGACTGGAAAGCTCGACGCACAAGTTTCTCGATTTCCACGGACCATTGCTGTAGGCCCTCATTAGCACGCTGAGTACGCTCTTTTAATTGCGCTCTGTACACGTGCTCGAGGTGGCTGTCTCCAAAACGTGCCTCAAGTGCGTCGAGGAGGGCACTAAAGCTGAGATCCCCACTTGCGCCGATAGCTTCCAGCACTGAGAGCGCTTGATCACGGAGGGCCAGGGTAAGGGCTGACTGTGCTTCCTTCTGAGTCCAACCATAAGCCTCCATAAGTGTCTCAAACTGTAGCTTGAACGCAGTCCAGGATGTTGTTCCATCGTAATGGGGAATCTTAAGCCCTTTCGTTGCACTTGAAGCCGCATTTGGGGCTTCAAAAACGGCTGCAAGACGGCTTCGGCTCTTCAAAGGGCTTGGGCTTGTCACTTCCTGCTTGATTTTGGAGATCTCTTCTTCCACTCTCTCCTCTATCGCCTTGACGCGATGTTCCAACTTGCCTAACCCTTCCTCCACTTCTTGTACCCGTTCGACAGCCTTTTGCAGTCCCTTCGTGAAATCCTTATGCATCTCTTTCAGCTCCCGTAGCTGCTCCGCCTGACAGTGTGCTTGCTCCCGTAGCTGTTCTGCCTGACAGCGTGCTTGCTCCTCTTGGCGGCGCGCTTGCTCTTCTTGGCGGCGCGCTTGCTCTTCTTTCAGCTCCCGCAGCTGTTCTGCCTGACAGCGCGCTTGCTCTTCTTGGCGGCGCGCTTGCTCTTCTTGGCGGCGCGCTTGCTCTGCCATCATTTGCTGCAGCTGTAGCAGAAGATCCACCTGCACAGGCTTGGCTTCTGCATCGCTGGTTTGAGCTGCAGCACCCTCTTCCCTCACACGCTGCGCTTCTGACATTGAACGGGTACTCACTCCTCTTACGTCCTGCGGCACTAGCGGCATTTTTCTCCAATCCCACTTCTGACACCAAATGTTACGTGCCTGACGTCACGTTCCTGACTATGCGGGCTTGGGTTACGGGATTGGATGAAATGAAACACTAATACCGGTTTTCAGACTTTCTATTGCACTTAAGTTACAGCGTCCACGGAGTTAAGTTATCGGCGTTCCTCTCCAGCAGAGTCCGGCCGTCTGACACAACTTTGCCGTTCACGCTGACTTAACTCACTTAACTGACTGCACTTCACTATTTCACTGCACTTCACTATTTCACTCACTTTTCTTCTTTCTCACTTCTTCCTTTTCTTCCGAATCGCTTTAGACTTAGAACTCAACTGCCAGCGGTGAGCCGCAGTTCCGCTTATATACCCCCGGTCAGGTTCTGGAACATTCAATTTCGTTATTCTTTTTGATCGTCATGCCTCCAGAACCTTCCAATAATTTCGTTATTCATTTTTATTTATTCTCCTTCTCGCTCTTTAATTTTTCATTTCTTTCACACAAATAATTCCAGAAAGTTCGACAAAACTTCTATAAACTAAAAAACTTCATGTTTACGGCGGGACTCGAACTCGGGGTCTCTGTGGTGTAATCCACACGCCTTACCGATTACACCAACTCGTGTTGACAATTCACGATGAAATTTACAATCTCTAGGCAACGTTTGACAACCATCCATTGACGTCATGATGTCAAAGAGTTTGAACCACTTTTCCGTCACATTATCATTAGTTTCGTAATGTTGTCTATAGCTCTCATCATAAAAAAGTATAAATTAGCTTATAGTCTTTCGAGATACACCGACTGCTTTCGATCGTCACCGGAGCTTATAATCGTAAGTTTATGTGAGATTGGGTGTGTATACCTAGTTTATTTTATTTGTACAGTAGGCCTCACGATGGTTATAAAAAAAAAAATATTGTTTCTTCCAGTTGGAATTTACGAAGCTTAAGTCAGGTGTCTCCGAAGCTATCAGGATATACAAAGACCAGATACAAGATCTACATACCAGGCTCAAGGAGGCTGCCACTACTGTAAGTATTATTTTTAAATCTATATTATTCATCAGCAGCCGTAACTAGCTACTACTAAACAAGCCTTTTGTCATGCCGAAAAAGAAAAAGCATTAACCATTGTGTTTTTGCATAAGTTGAAGAACCCCCAAAAATATAGCGTCGCTACTCGTTGTAAAAGCTGGAAAAGCTTTTGTAACTTCTTCGGTATGTCGGGTGGCGCTGATCGCTTATGATTACCTAATCATAAGCGATCAGTCGAATCACCTGATTCGACTACTCATTATAACCATATTGGATGAAAAACTAGCTAGGAATTTTAATACCCAGGGTGTATGGGTAAGCCCGGCTTTTTATATCGTATAATTCAGCAAATTCCTCATTTTTCTTTACGCTGCGGAGACGTGGGCGGTGCATGAGTTTTAAAAGAAGAAGATAGATGCTCTGGAAATGTGGTGCTGGAGAAGGATGCTCGGGATATCGTGGACAGAGTTCCGCACCAACGTTTCCATACTTCAACAATTGAGCATCACGCAGCGTTTATCTGCCTTAGTACAGAGTCGCGCATTTTACAGTACTTCGGACATGTCTCTAGACGGGATAGCGATTTCATAGAGCGCCTGGTCGTTCAGGGAAAGGTGGAAGGGACAAGACCACGCGGAAGATCACCTATGCGATGGACTGGCCAGGTTAAATCGGCAGTAGGAACGCCTGTATCTGACTGCACCAGACAGTCTGCCAAGCCAACAAGGAGAGATGGCGGGAGATCGTGCGGAGAGTTGTATCTGCCTCTACCACCGATGTGGATGCCTCTACGTGACCACGACCGCTCTGCCAAGAGCGAAACGACAGAGAAGTTTAGCAAAAAAGTTAAAGAATCACCTGATATAGTAAGCAACATTTAAGAGTTACATGTGACTTTTGGGGGCCATTGATCAAATTCAATGTAATCCAATGGAATTGAGTCTGAGAGGAAGAAAGAATTGGGTCTTTAAAGACATCAGTCACTCCTGTCGAAGCGAACTATTTGTGTAGAAGAAAAGCAAGTTGGAACAGGACGGTTTTTAGTTAAAGGAGCAGGAGGGCTATTTACTCTTAAGTTTTACAATTAGTTATACAAATCTTCTGCCCACTCCGTAAAAACATGCCTAATAATGTTTGGTTTAATTTTAACAGGTGTTCCAACCGGTTCGCTTCTCGATCAGTTCAGAGTCTGAGAACTCGTCGTCGGAGTTCGCGAGTCTGATGTCGAACGTGAAGCTCTACGACAAGACGCTCAAACATTTAGCTGATTTACTTAATGCGCTGACACACGGGTGAGTAATAATACACGTATTACACTTTTTTGTCAAATTAAGTATCGTTATCTCGCAGTATTTGTAAGTTTTTTCAAACAAAAAATCATTGCCCAACACTAGGATTTTCACTTCCACTCATCTAGATTTGAAAGATCAATTTGTGGATCACACAAAAACTTGTTTCGTGCGAGAATCGAAACCGCGACACGTTGAACGTTGCACGGTAGCCCGTCGCCCAGTCGTCGCGTCAACCGAGCATTCAACCTTGTTTTTGCAAAAAAAGAGGTAGAAAATGCAGCAGTGGACTCATTGTCCAATGCTGGACAATGCAAATGCGTCTTCTGCATTTTCTACCTCTTTATTTACGCATTTTCTACCTCTTTTATTCGAGGACCAAAACCATCTTATTTCATTAATATTTAAACCTGTATGCACATGTTGCTCTTTATTGAGGGGAGAGAAACCTAATGATTTTAGCCGACCTAATTGGGGCAAGAGACCTTATTTTAAAAATGACTAAGTTTGTTCATATAGCGCTACTGCCTCTTCATGAAGTCTCCTTACGACATTCGCGTGAATAGTAGAGGTGGTCATATACGTATTCTACTTAAAACATAATTAAAAAGTAAAATGTCTGTTTTCAGCATGTCAGATAGTCTTGTCCAGACACTCGGCTTGATATCGAGCCTTCACGACTACAAGCTGGAAAGGGTTACAGCAGAACAGTTCAAGTCCGGCCTCACTGAGATTAAGCAGCAAATGGAGAAACAACACAGTACTGCGCTTAATAATATGTAAGTAGTATGATGTTGTGTCATTGAATTAATTGTTAATTATCTATAGTTATATTATAAAGAGGTAACATTTGTAAGTTTGTATGTAGGGGGTAATCTTTGGAACCGCTGGTCGGATTGCCAAAATTCACTGATAGATAGCTACAATGTTCCTGAGTGCTATAGGCTATAAAATATTACGATACGATTAAATGGAGCCGAGCAGTGGGTGAAACCGCGAACCGCGAGAGTAGCTAGCATTCTGATAAACTGAACGACTGACGACGACAAAATTAAACATGGAACGTAATTGATTTTCTTACGTAAGTTTTACATGAACTCATATTAATATGACGGATCCCGAGCCGGCAAGAGTATTTTTAGTTACTGATGTTCCTTAAATGCCTGGCCTCCAGAATCCTACATGCAATTTATGATTTCAAAAATTAGAGTGTATAATTTTTCTAATACTATTTGGGGAACAAAGATAAAGGTTCCCTACGTTTGAATAAGGAAGACCCTCCGGCCAGGCGAGGTGATCATATTGGGGTCTAGCGGGCTTCTTCCCAAAAGTACGCTGAGATTTTCTATCGATGTTTTATCGCTCGCAAATTTGCATGATGTAGTCTTTATGTGACTTTATCCATTGAATATTGTCGTCGGTCTTCTACGGGCGTCACCAATAAATATCGGTTTACATTGAATGAATGGATAAATGAATGAATAGATATTCTTTATTTTACACCATAATAATACATTCTGACACGATGTCCCATCACATTTACATTAAAACTTTTCAACGGGCCTCTGCGAGTTGGCTTAAAGAACATTCTGACACGAAAACTTTAAAACAAGCTTTTTTTATTTCAATTTATATTCTACGTTTAATCTACATTTCAGCGGTCAAGTGAGAGGCACGTTATCGATATTCGAGGGTATCTTCAAGGACTACAGCGAGGTCCTGAAGAACTCAGTAGCCCCGAAGGCTCGAGTAGAGCGCGCGGCCAACGTGGAGGCGCTGACGGCGGCGCTGGTGGCGCGCGGACAGGAGCTGACCGCGCTGCGGGCTGAACTCGACGCGCTGCGGGCCCGACACGACGATACCGACCTACTCAAGGCACAGATGGACCTCTATAAGTACGTTTTTGCTTCACTGTCTACAATAATTATAACAATTAATTGCTATATGTGTTGGTTAGTACAAGCAAATCTCTAGAACGGCTGCACCAATTTCACTGAATCATTTTACTGTTTTGTTATTGTCTGGAAGAGGTTCATGTGAAAAAATATGAGGAGAGTGGAACAGATAATAGTGAAATAGTGATCCTTCCGTTGTCTGTCGTAAGCAAGGCTTAACGCAATGAAACAATCTGTTGGGCAATGCTTGCCAGACAGTAATAACAGTAACACCCGGACGCTAAAATTACTGTTAAATCTCTTGTCAAGTCATCTGATTGGTGGTTAATAATTCAGTCAACAAATCAGGTGACTTGACAAGAGATTAAATTGATTTTAACATTGATCGGCCCTTCGGAAACCGAGTGTAATTATTTCAGGCTGGTTTTCCGTAAAAGGGTAGCAATTCCCAGGGCACAATGCAGTGCATTTGTAACTGTTAAAATACACTGTTTTTTGTTATAACTTTTTCAACTCAAATGGAGGCTTGTCCGGATTTAAAATGCACCAAATTGTGTATGCTTAATGATACTTTTGTTCAGGAGTGACTTCGAAGCAGAAAGAGAGTCACGACAGAAGATGGCGAGTGAGAAAGAGAATCTACAGACAGACGTTAGGACGTTACAGAAACGGAATCAAGAACTCACACAACAGGTTTGTATTTTTTCTTGTGATTGTTCGGCAAACGAGCCCTCGGATTGCCTGATGGTAAGCAATCAGCGTCGCCCATGGACACCCGCAAGAACAGAGGAGGTACAAGTGTGTTGCCAATCTTTTGGAGATTAGGGATTGTTAGAGGCGAAGGATTGGGCCTCCGGTAACCTCACTCACACAGCGAAACACAACGCTGTGGTTGTTTCACGCCGGTTTTCTGTGAGGCCGTGGTATCACTCCGGTTGAGCCGACCCATTCGTGCCGAAGCATGGCTCTTCCACACTTAACATACATCCATACGTTGTCACAAACTTTCAAGTTTCACATGTTGACCTACTCGCCCAGAAAGTCCACGTACATTTTATTCCAGCGCCGTAACTCGCCCGGCGAGTTCAACGTAATATCGCTATCCCACTAGGCGTTTTACTAGCATTGTCGTCAACGCTGTGTTGGCGCAGCGTCGACGCCGCGCTGACGTGATTTTAACGCTCCGAGAAATGTAGGCGGCATCCGAGATATGATTGTGATTTTTTTTTTATTATTGATTATAGGTTCGCGCTTGATCGCGCTATCTCACCTGAAGGAAAGTGAAAATCGTAATGGTACCTAATGAAAGTGTTAAACATACATTTTGTGTCTAGTTGGAGGAAGTCCGGAAGATCAACCCTTCGGTATACCGCTCAGCGACGAGTACGTCCCGCAGCAGTACGAGCCGGGGCTCCTCCTCCACAGTACGCGCCGCGCCCACGAGACCTGCGCCCGCGCAACCCGCCACTACGGGGAATATGGTCAGTATCATAAACGCTTAGAAATCAGATTTTTTGTAATGTCTAGGTGAAAGAAGGATTTTGTTTAGTCAGTACATAGGTATGAAGGAGGATTAATTCGATTTGTTGATCAAAACAGTATTTTTTTTGTAGCTTCAGAGAAAGTTGCAGTATTATCAATACTGTAACTAAGTTGTTTGTGAAGTTTAGGAAGTATTTTGTCGCTGATTTGGTGTTAATTACATTAAATTTTGTGTTTTCTTTTATACTTTTTAAAAGATTTTTTTAAAGGGACCAAGATATTATGGTCCATTATTTGTAACTGCGAGGATCCTTCAACCAAGCGAATTGAATGCGCCTATTTTTTTTAAACTTTTAAAACAATATAAGTCACTTCAATTTTTAAACGAGAAATCCTAAAAAAAGGTTCGCAAAAAGAAGAAGATATCAGATACACCGGAGGAGGGAGCTGCTAAGGAGAGTACACCGCCACCACTTCGTTTCGACTGTCCCGTGTGTGACCAGCCTTTCAAAACTCTAATTTTATTACATCAACATGTAGAACACTGTCTACCATGATTGTAGGTTAATAAAACGCTACCACTTACTCATATTAAATTTTGGGAGAGCCCATCTGCGCTATGAATGGGCCAGCTCGACAATGTGATAACTCGGCCTCAAAGAAAAACAGCCTAAAACGACCCCAAGCTTGTGTTTCTTCCCTTTCTTCTGATCCCTCTCCAATCCCTTAGTCCCCAAAATTCCTGCAACACACTGATTAATCAAGAAAAAAAGGGAGTTTACCATTGGAATTGCTTACATTAGGTAATTCTTTATTGCCAAATCAATACCACGACTTCACAGAAAACCGTCATGAAACAACCACAACGTTGTGTTTCGCCGTGTGAGAGAGGTTACCGGAGGCCCAATCCTTCGCCTCGACCAATCCTTCCTCAATCCCCAAATCTCCAATAGGTCGACAACGCACTCGTAAATCCTCCGTTGCGGGTGTCCATGGGCGGCGCTGATTGCTTACCATCAGGTAATCCGTCTGCTCGTTTGCCGACCTATTACATAAAAAAAAGTTTATAGATTTGGCTCACCCATCAGTCAACTTGATTTGAAGCTAAAGAATTTTTTCTTAGTCAATCCCAATAAAAGTCGGTCAATTAACTGATTGATGTGAATTTGTGGTAGCGTTATCTTTAGAATCTTATTGCTTTCATATTGTGGAAGAAAACAGCATTACAGTGTATAAGTAGCAAAATTATAAAATTAGGCTTCAAGTGTACTGGTGGCTTATCACATAATTATTAGTACTTTAGCTATAAATACTTTTTTTTCATCTACTGTGAGTAGATCACTCACTTACGACATAAAAACAACCTACATTGCGTTGTATGGGTAGTTTATATCCAGTTTTATGCATATTTTACATGCGAATTCTTTTAGTTATTGTTGCAACCATAGTAATTTTGGATTTAAATAATATGACAAAGCTTCTTGTCATCATCATTGGCCTATAAGTGCCCACTGCTATCCAAATATACACGCTCTCACACGGAGAGCATTAATCGCCAAGCCGCTCAAGGTGATTTTTCTGATTTCAAACTTATAAAAAGTTCCTTATAATTACAATAGTTATGTGGTAGGTCGTCACCACACAAGTATATGTTTTTTCTCTAGCTTTGGAACTTTCTTAAACGTAATTTCATTCATTTCTTCGATTCGATTTTTTACAGTATTTGTATGAGTGTTACCAATATTAAAATTGCAAAATTATTTGTTCATTCAAAAATAGGAAAAATTCAACGTTAGTTAAAATTTAGTACAATTTAATTTATTAATGAGACATGTACATAATGATGTAAGTAATATTAATTAACCTAATAGATTTCTCTTACAGTTTTTAGAATTGTGTTATTTTTAGGGTTTACTGTTATTTACGCGAATCAATTCCAATATTGTAAATCAAATATGTTTGTTGTAAGTTGAACAGTTATAATTTATTGCATTTAATTTAAATTTAATAATTTATTGCTTATAGAGTCAACCTTCGTTAAAGTCTTAAAAAATAATCATACTGTTATTGAAAATAATGACTTAACCGAATTAACCGAGAAAATCTCTGTTCACACATTTCACATGCCTTTTTTTGTGAGGGAATAATCATCAAAAAACTTCTCCCGCCCTGGGTGGGGTGGGAGGAAGTGTCAGACTCTTACTGACTAAAAACTGTTCTGGGCCGAGGTCGTAGTTCCTCATTGCGTTTACCCCGCAGTCATTATTTTCAAAAAGTAATTTTATTATGAAACTCTGTAAAACTAACATTGCATTTATTTTTGTTATAAAATACTTAAATCATTTTTTTTTATATAATTTGATAAAGAAACTACAAGAATATTCTACTTTATTATGTTTTTATTTTAATAAATATACTTAGGTAGATAATTTACGTTTCTTTCAGCATTTAGGTGAGAAATGTGTTTTTAAGTGTCGTGTGTATTTTTGTCTAGAATTTTGGCGATGGATTAATAATAATAATAACTTGTGAAAAGTGGATGTTGACATGGCATGTCAATGAATTTTATAACATTAATTATAGTTATACCGTTTTGTGTGTGAAGTGTATGAATGATTGTTACTTAATGCTCAGTTCTAGCTTTTACTTGTCCTAAATAATCATTATAATGTTTTAGATTCCAACCGTTTATTGCACGAATGTGTGTTTTTATTAATTATATTAATTACTTTTATTCTAAGTTCAATGATAATTTTTAAAATTATTTGTTTATAGTTTACAATTTTATCTTTGTTGAATCAATATTACTACATAGTATAAAATAATGTCAGTTTCCCCGGTCTGTCCCTATGTCTCCCTTATATTTAAAACTACGTGACGAACTAGTTTTTTTCAATAGATCGAATGATTCAAGACGCGAAAATCTACTGGATTTTCTTGATTCCTGCATTTTCTGAACTATGGACAGTCAAAAAACTAATCAAAATCAAACACGTTTTTCTAATAATCAGCAAATAAGTGTGTTATTTTTGATAAATACTCAGTACGTTATTTGAATAAATAGTATCGGTCCATTTTCTGTCTCACATTATGTTTGACATGTTAGGTCTAAAAAGGATTATCGTTGAACTACCTTTCCCTTAATTGTTCGCATGGGTTGTGTATATATAAAACGAGATTAGTTTTACAATTCTAATTAATTATTTTTCTGTTTCCAGGTGTTTACGTGTCCAAAGTGTATGAGGTTCTCATGCGACCAGTACAAAGTCATGGAGGATCACTTCGATTTCTGCCTGGACGACTTTTAATGTTAGTATTTTAATATTTTATTTGCTAGACTAGTCTTGACTGTGGTATACGTGTAGTTGTCGATCTACTGCCAGTCTCAGTAATTTGTATCTATAGATTTTTCTACTAGGCCTAGGTTATTGATACATACGTTTTCCCCACCCCCTCTTCAGAAGGTGGGTGAACCATGATTCGCCTTGAATGGACCGGTTTGACTGGACTGATGCCACGGCCGTCCGGTACGCAGGCGTAATACAACCACAGCGTTTCATTTCATGGTGTTTGTGAGGTGCCGAAGGTCCAATCGCCCTCTGGTTTCCTGTTTACCTAAATCCCAAATACTCGAATCCTTAAATTCCCAAATCCTCAATACCAATTCCCAGTCCTCAAACCTCAATCTTCAAATCTACCATAACTCAACAAAATACCGGCAACTGATTGCTTACCACTTGTCTTCTCGTTTACCGCCATATCTTAAAAATAGTCTGTATGTATATAAGCCTAGTAGCCAAATTTATCGATACGTTTGTAAGTGAGGCTTGTTAGTGACTATCGATGCCAAAATTCTATTCTGAAAATTGTAGTTCCTAAATACGTAGTTAGGTGATCAATCGTCTATTTTTATAAATAAAAAATAATAAACAGAAATGAATTATCATCGCATACAATTTCTTCTTTACTTTCTGTTTTTTTTTTTTTGTTTATGTAGTATGGATAAGTATTCTGATAAAAAAAATTTGGAATCCAGAAAAAATATTTTCTCAATCTCAATTATACTTTTTGCTATCTTCAACTTTAATTTGTAAATAATTAATAATATGTACATGAATTTTAATATCGACAACTGTACGTTTTACCCTGTTATAAATAAATATTTTTTATTTTAATTTTGTATGGCCATTAGCTAGTGTAATAATATTAATAGCTTACTGTAGTATAATAATATGTAATGTAATTATAACTAAACCTCATTTATTTAATAATTAATAATTTTATATATCGTGCATATTTCAATACATTTAATCTAAATTGTGATTGGTTTCATATTAATATGTTGTTATCTATTTTATTATTTTTTGTAAACAGATTAGGTGCTGTGCGCTGTGATTGGTCATTTTAACTGTCAATCACTTGAACTAACCAATCATAGTCTCTTCATGTTAAATCTAGTAGTCTCTGATTGGTCGAGTTAGATTCACTATTTTTGTAATTGGAAATGGACTGTAGTTGAAATATTTACTTTTAAAGAATTACATATGAATATGATAAATTTTGAAAAAACAGTTTTATATAACACATTCCATACTTCAAGATTAGGAGTGTGTAGGCGCGTTCTTCAAAAAAAAAAAACGTTGACATCAATAACCATGGAAACTGCTAAACAGATTTTAGTGAAACTTGTTTAATCATGTTCTAAAAACAAAAGTACATTTTCGAAAAAAAAAAATAATTTAGGGAGATAGAGGAAATATTAAGTTTCCAAACAAACATAAAATCGCTACAACTCAATTAAAGAATATTCGAAATATTTTTTAATCTTCTTCTCTTTAAAAAACATATCATCAGCCTATAAGTGCACACTGCTGAGTAAAAACCTTCTTATCACACAAAGAAGGTTTGCATTAATCACCACGCTTGCTGAAGGCGGATTGGCGATTTCTAATTTTTAATTAGAAGTTATAAGTCCAGGTTTCCTCACGATGTCTTCCTTCACCGTATGTCAGTGGTGTGTAAATAATCATAGAAAGTACATATATTTTTGATCTTGATATAATATGTGTATGAGTACCAAATTTCGTTAAAATCAGTTCAGTAGTTTCCATGTTTTTGAATTGAACGTTTTTATGAACAATGGTGCGATTTTAACGCTCATAATAAAATGTTATATTTTTATACTTTATAGTTATTACACAAACTACATTTATACAGTCATAGTGAATAAATAAAAAAAAACACCTTACGGATGACGAACCCCTGTCGTAGTTCGAAACTGATCGAACAACCTCGAAAAGCTATTGAAGTTGTATATTTTTATTAATTTGCTATGTACAATTATATATATAAATAAATAATGCATTCCATACCATTCCATTACCATATTATATTATACAGGCATTTTGTGAGTGAGATAACGTTATACGCTAGAGAGAGAAACGTTGTAATAGACATCAGGAACAATATTCCTCACTATGCTTCAAACAATAAGGTTTACATTTATATAATTGCAATTGTCATAAACAAACGAGTGGTGAGTTTCGAGTTCTAAGCAGTGTAATTTAAACCTTATCACGGTGTTTCTTAAAGTTATTTTGCGCTGTGTTACAGTATTTAATGAAATATGTATCTTTTTTAAATAACTGTTTGTAAAGTGTAAGTTAGCAGCAGCTAGCAGCCCAAAAACGTATACAAAATGTTATTCACCTAATGTTGACCTCTATTGCGCTGAAAATAAGGTTTGCATAAAGTGGAAAAGTAGTTTAATTCAATACTACTTCGTATAGCACCTTACGGCTTTCAAATAGAAGTTATAATTGCTTGAATAAGCATCAAGGAGTTGTAGTATTCTCTAGTTTATCCATAATTAAGATAATTCTACGACTTCTCTCTTCTTTAAATTAACAACGATATCAATCTGCACAAAGGCTAGTCTTCCATAAAGCGATAGCTAAAGATTGCGACGCGTTTAGTGGTTCGTCAAACATTGTGGCATTAGTTCGCGTCATCGTTAACTCTGTTTTTTCTCCCTAGATGGCGCTGATTATAAATTCGTTTCTTTTCATTGAAAATCATTCAAGATACTCACCAAGCCTTTTGATGGTTTATTTTTTGTTCCAAATTTAAATTTTACAAAATGTGATAAAATAATTGGGTGTTATATTTCAGTCTGTCTCTTTTGCTTTTATACTAAAGATAGAGACACCTTTATAATTTTCATTTAAATTTAGATTTTTTTTATTGTTAATAGTGTATAAACATTATGTATTGAATGAATAAACGCGTATTTAGGTTAAAATTAAAATGCCATATTTATTTTTATATTCATTATTATATATTATATAATTTTGGTCCAAATTAATGTAGATATAGGCGCTAAAACAGTGTATACTTGTTAGGTTTAAAAGGCTGCCCACAGCCGAATATCGGAGTAGGAAATATGTACCCGCGGGTGGAATAGACCTCTTTAGAGTGGACTGCAGTTCCGCTTTGCTTTTTATCCTAAATTGTATCCTGAATGTGTGATTGAAAATGAGACTGTATTATATTATATCCTTAGAAAATTCTAATCCCCTTATTACAAAACAAGATTTACCTTTACTTTAGTCTAGGTTCAAACCATTGAGACAGGTTTTGTATTTTGAATCTTATTTCCACCTACATTCAATTTGAAATACAAAAACAGTCTCATTTTTTTAGACCTAATGTAAAGAAGATCCTTATTTTGTTATCAAGGCCGTTAATGTTTATTTCTAGTACTTAAATTTAAATTCCTTTTGGCCGCCTGTTCATTAGTTTTTTTTATTTACAATTTTATTTCGTAGACTTTTCTCTATACCAAAAAAGATTTAATGATGTATTTGAAAATTCTGACATTTGATTAAATATAAATGATTTTGAATTCTATTGCGTTCGTTATAAGGTTTATTATATCTTCATCTAAGTTTTGCGATGTTTGACTGTAATATTGATTTTCATATGTATTAGTAAATAATTAATTCATAAATTTGTTTTTGTTTTTCGATAGTACTAATGAGTTCTTTATTTTGTATCTTTAATAGTTTTACTTTATATTTAAAAAGGATTATGGGTGAATAATATTATGACTATTTAGTTTGCGTTGGCCGAAGGTTCTATAAAATACTTTGCCGACCAATATTGAACCTAAGAGGCCTTGTCCTACAGTCGCACTTTCGTCAATGGCCTGGAAACTGTCGAAAGTAAGCCCTGCGTTCACGTGGGTCCCAGGATCCTTACATGTCTTAATATTACTCAAACATAATTCTTTTTCTAATTCTTGCGTGCTAAAGTTGCCACTTTTAATTAATAAAATATATACCATAAATGTCGAGTCAAAAAAGGTTATTTTAAATTATCCAATTACATCTGTCATGTAATTAAAGTTAATATCATAAATAACAACATTTGCTCTGAAAAAAATATCAGTGGACAAAACTGTCGATTAAATTATCTGATTAAACGCCTTAAGTTCAGAATCCTACATTGTATTCCTTATATCACGTATTTGAACAGAAATAAATCAATGGAGACGTGAGGCAAACCCCCAGTTTAACTGTTTCATATGAAGACCAATCTTGCTCCTCCCTCAATCCCTCAATATGCAAATTCCCTATCCATATAGATTGTTAACAAGTTTTCCAATTGCCTTTCCTTCTTTTTGTTGATCATTTCAATCTTGATATTCGGAGCACTCACTATTCCCAAGATCTTGTGTCCCTGGAGTCCTTAAATCAATAGACATGTCCTCTTACCCTTCCCTTTAGAATTCTCGGAAGAAAGCATGACTCCATTAGTCATGAGTTATGGGTGACTGGTTATGTTACTGTTTTTTGTGAGGGGAAAGGTCATTAAATGGTTTCTTTTGCCCTGGGTGAGGCGAGAGGGAGTGTCTCCCCGTTCCTTCTCCTGGTCTAAGCCGAGGCCGCCCTTATTACGGTTGCCCCGTATCCCCCGCTAGACATCAGCCCTATAGGACCCCGTCTATGGTGGTCTATTGGCTCTTTAAGGCGCGCGCAGAACAATTACCACGTTGGAGTCTCTTTCTGTGACCGCATAGTTTTTGCCAGACTTTGACAAAAACAAAACTGTGACCCTACCAACCTTGCACTAGTCACTCCTTTCGTGAAACGAGTGTCCATATTCGCGCTGCTAAACGTGATTAGGTCCATTAGGTGTTCCATGTTCTAGTTTGCCGACTTTTCCTATCATAAAAGATTTGACTAAATATTTATTTTGATGAATTTTGAAAAGTCTTAGAGCAAAAGTTGTTATTTATATAAAGTTATTAATTTATTTAAGTACAGTGAAATTGTTGGATAATTTGAAATGACCGTGTTTTTGTGTAATTTAAGGAATTGAACGATAATGTAAATTTATATTGTAAACTTATTGTACTGTGATCCTATGCATAGCGACGTCATATCTTATGTCAAAGATTATTACTATAAATATATTCATTTAGGAGATATATTTATGTGTGTTTTTTTTATTTTCTATGGTATTGTGTGTGTTATAGAGTTCAAAATTGATTGATAATTAGGTACTTACAACTCGAGGTATAAAAGAAAATGCAAGCATGATTTTCAAATCAAATATATTTCATGGAACCCGTAGCGTTTCTTAGCTGTTTTTATAAAATTTATACAATTATTTATAATAATTTACTAATTCATTTTTACAAACGCGTCCTATAAATTGTTTATATACCATTAGCTAATTGTTTTTAACCTAGTGTCTTGCTGACAATAATTGGCACCATTTCTTATTGGTCACAGGACAGATTCTTATGTGGCGAAACTATTCTTCACAAACTGTGTCGATACAATTAAAAAGTATGTCAATTTAAGAAACGCTAATAAACTATACAAAGATGAGATTCGAACACAGACAAGAGTTACAGCGGAATTTACAAAAAGAAAACTTTTAAATAAGTATAAACCGCAACTTAAAGATAATACAAAATCAGGAATATACGAGTACAGTTATATTTCCACACTGGTACACTATCGCTGCACGAAACTTTCTATTCATACTTATTATTAAAAAAATATAAATAAAAAGTAACAATAGGTAATAAATAGGTCGGAAGTATATAAAAATAAATCTTTTTTAAATACTTACTTGCTAGTGAAATTAACTAATAAAAATAATCGTTAAAAACTCGCTTGGCTATCGAATCCAGATTAAAGCGATGTGAGCACAATTTCCGTTATCTTGTGTCTGGCGAGCTATCGTTTGTACAGACAGACAGACCACCGTCGCCTGTACAAACTATAGCCTGCCTGTTATTGCAAAGGAACAGTTTCACTAACTAAAGGTAACCAAGGATATTACATTGCGTAATAACATGTCTATTATTTTAAAATTGGAAGATTCTTTTATCAAATCAGTCAGTAAAACTGTTCCTTTACGTATATCTGAATCCCTAATAAATAAATAAACGCGAATGAAAATTAAAACAATAAACTCCCTGAGTTTGTCGAACTATATCTAAGTGATGTATAAGCCACATGCGTGATTAAAACTATCTAGCAACAGATTGTGAATGCTAAATTTCAATTAAACTAAAATCGAAGTTGTTCCTTGGTAATTAAGTTCGAATTTGTTTAGCAGAGTTGTTATATTGGTTTAGAACCTACCTATTTATAAAAATACTATCTTGTAAGAACTAAAATAAGGCTCTTTAACATAATTTAAAAAGGTTATAGAAAATTTGATACAAATACAACGAATTGTAGTTTGAAAAAGCGTAAGTATTCTTTTAAATACTGTGATTGGAATGCGTCGCAAACTAGATGTCTTTTTGAGACGTGTTTCAGAGGATGAGACGGTTATCGGGCGAAGCTGGTGGGAAGCTGGGCAAGCAACCAGCCGTCCCAACCCTCGGACCACATCTCAGAACGACAGCCAGACAATATAATAATCTCAGTCGGGTGTTACGAGACAGTTTAGATGACCAGCATCGACACCAAAGGCTGCCTCAAAATTTTCCAATTTCATTACTAGGAGGTGAACCAATGTACTTTACACTTCCTCTACATAAGAAGCTTACAACATTTAATAACATATAAACCATAAAATAGATAATAAATGTCCTTAGCATTACTTAATACAAATTACAATAACATTACATTTAGTTGCGAACATAAAACTATTTACGTCGCTTAAGGACTAGAATATGTTGAGGAAACAAGCAGCTGTTCCGGGGAACATGTATGTGGCCTGCTTTATGGCAAAGCGGTTGTTGCGTGAACCGTTGCGTTGGAAGTTGGTACAAAACTGCGTAGTTATATAACACGGTAAGATGCGTCGGTACTTTCAATCGCGATTGTGTTGTTAGCGTTTACCGACGAAGTCGATCATCTGATCAATTTGTTCCTTTTCGTCGTATAGGTACAAAGACTCCATGCATCCCTTGAAGTAGGGGGACGTGAAACATTTCTCCCTGAAACGCAGAAATATAATCATTAGTTTTTATAATAACTATCGTGAGACATACTAAATTAACTAAAAATCGCGGGTTACTCACGTGTAAGTATTGAGAAAAGCTCTACTAGTTTCGAACCAGCCTACTGTAGGCTGCGCGACGTCGCCGCGTCCGCGCACGCTGCTCATGAGGAAGAGCCCCTCTGTGGTTCGAAACTAGTAGAGCTTTTCTCAATACTTACACGTAAGTAACCCGCGATTTTTAGTTAATATAGTCATTAGTCTTTATATATTAATGTTCGTTCAATGTTAATAGGAGTTAGCAGATAGCATAATGTTAAGTTACATTTTGCATAGTGCGTGCAAATTAGGTAAGTATAATTTTTTAATCCATTTGAATACAAAGTTCTACTCCAAAAATAAGACTAGGTATACTTCAAATTAAGCATGTCAAAGAAGAATAAAGAAGAGGTCGGAAAAGAATAAGGTATTTTAAAAAATACAACTAGTTATAGTAAACAGATTAAAGGCAAGTTACTGCAGATACAGAGCAAAATTACCAAGATAAAAAGTTTTCAAAAGATATTGGACTTATGTTACTGCCACCATTAGGTATCTGCAAAGCATTATCTACCTTACGGTCATTGAAATAGTGCATAAAATAGTTTAAAATATAGAAGTGCTGGAAAATAAGGCGTGAAGGCATGCTGTTAATTCGGCTTCTAGAAGATAAAAGTTGCTGTAAAAAAGAACTCCATTTTAGCCCATATACTTACGATCATCACCCTTTTTGTATGGCATAGCAGTGTTAAATATATATGTACTTATAATAGTGCAATATAAATAGCGTGCTGTTAATACCCCAAAGCTGAAGAAATGCTCAACGCATTAGAAAGAGATAGGTGTAGGAAATATTAGAGGTGAGAAGGAGAGGTAAAATAAATTCGGTTGGTACCTAATTCCCAGCCGGGGGTACGGCCCCGTGTAATATTCTTATATATTCCTTGAACTGTTCTAACTGGTCAGTTTCTTGTAGCACCTCCACGCAGCCTTTGAAGTAATCTGTCGTGAAACAGTCTTTCCTGTGCCCCAACAAGGAATAATGCACTTTATTACATGTTCATACGGTTGGAATTGATTATTTTGTCTTCGAATCATGAATTTTCATGCTTTAACTTGCACTTCAACCTAAGTGCTAATCAGTTACTGGTTTACAATACACTGTATATGTATATAGTTTATCTTATCATTTATATCAAGAATTAAACTAAAAATTACAGGCACGAATTCAAGATTCCAAAACAACAATTTCCCGCCATAAACTGGCACAGATACACAAAAACTGTAAAACGTCACAATTCAAATAGAGAACGAAATAGAACGCAACGAACCTGCATAGATTATAGAGCTGTGGTTCCCTGAAGAGGTTGTAGCAGTCGTCGCAGATTCTGTCGAGGCGGGCAAAAATGGCCGCGTCGTAGACTCCTTTGCACTCGAGGGTGAAGAAGGAGCGCCGTGCGACGTGGTGCGACGACGAGGGCGGCGCCGCTGCGCCCAGGGCCACCGCCACCAGTGCCGCGCACGCCAACTGAATCGAACTTAGATGCATCTGGAAATAACAAAACAACAAACGTTAACACATATCTATTATTAACAGCAGATTTATAGGTAGGTACAATGCGGGCGCAATTGTTAAAGGTACCTAATTATATAAAATTTTTCCTAGATAATAAAAAATTTCCTTGTAGGTAAATCCATTTTATTTTACCATTTTAAATTTGGATCATTGTTACAGAAGGATGAATAAGGATTTGTAATTATACCTACATACAGTAGGTACCTACAATAAGTGAGTGTGGTTTAAGCTTTACAGTTACAATAATGAGTAAGATTTCAAGTACATTATCAATATGTAAATGGCCGTTATTTAGTAAAAGTGGAGGATGAAAAGAGTGAGCAGCGTTGGCGCAAAATAACGCGGCATCCGCGCCTGCGCAGGTCGTCTTGTCTGTCACGCGCTTAAGGGAAATACACGTATTATCGCTGTTATTATGTTTACTTATACAAAAAGAATATAAAATTGTAATTTCCATGCTTGATAACATTGTGGAGCCTCTTATGAATCAGTTAGATCATACCTATTTTTTTATTTGTCACTCCATCTTTAATAAGCCTCTATTACAATTTCGCTATTAGAAAGGTATTGCAACCTTTTTATATGATGAGACAAAAATGCTTTTTTGTCTATTCTGATTGTAGTTCCGTAATTTAAGTTTGTACACATTGCCTTATTATCCATAGATTAAAACGCAAAGTGACCGGGCGATTATCTCAAAGTGGACTTTTTAAGTACCTACATAGGTACTATGCTACGTAGCGCTATTATTGGTCAAGCAGCACATTAGAAAATTGGCGAAATAGCATATAAACTACAAAGACTGTACCTACCTACCTACCTAAACAACAACTAGAACGATTAGGTACACGATTAATAAATATAAAACATCGGTTTCATCTGTAAAATTTAAAGTTCTGTGAGAGAATTTAGATATAAGTCGTTATTGATTATATATTTATCTAATAATCAAAAAGTCAAAAATCATTTATTCCAATTAGACCTTTAAAGGCACTTTTGAACGTCAAACAAAATTTTGATGATATAGTGTCAGTCTGTCAGTCAGTCCTCTTATTGAAGCTATTTGCTCGATCCAAAGTGTAGATTCCGATGGAGAAGAATGAGCAAGAAACTCTTTGGATATTGTCGATATGTTGTATGATGTTGTTGCCCATTTTATAATGCTCAGTCAACCAGAAAACCACGTTGACCCCTTCAACTTTAACTTACTTAAGTATGTAACATAAGTACATAAGTTATACGTAAGACAGGAAACGATAGTAAGTTATGTACAACATAATCTAAACTCCTTTCCCTAGCTTTCCAATCAACGGGAGATTAAGAACTTGTGTAATTCCTTTATTGAACTATAGTTGAACAAAAAGGTCAGATATTTTTTTTATTCGAAATTAGAATGTCTTGTAACGTTTTTTTTTTTCAATTATTTTTTTTTGTTCTTAAACCACTGGAACGATTTTGTTTAAATTTGGTACAAAAAGTTTAAATACTTAGGTACTTTGATAAAAAAGGAATAATTATAATTATGTAGTGTTGATGACACATAGCGTTGCAATCTACGATATCCGTAAGTACAACCGGAATTATTATATAGTATTTGTCACCGATTCAAAGAACTTCTTCTATTTAAAATATTCTTCATATTAGTCAAGATTTGAGATCATTAACTTCGTAGTTCTGAGAATTATTGATAGATATTAATTTATATCTATAGGTACCTATAGCGATTACTAATACCTACTTACATAACAGAACATCAACTTCTCTGAAACGGTAGAGCTCTAAATATATTAGGTATATTAAAATTACACACGGTAAACATTATAGACCCTGAAAACGTAACGTGCCAGCAAGTTTGATTTAAGAACATCATAAATAAAATATGAAGTAGTAAAACCTTTTTATCTTTACTACTAGCCAGTCGCATAGTTTTTTTTAAAAAAGAATGCAGTCTATAATCTATGATCGTACCATATCGCCTCATGTTTTGGGAAAGGCGCAATTTAGTGAATGTTACACTCAACTCGTAATAATTTGGCATTCTTTCATGTTAGACCTACTTGGAACGAATCTTGTGATCGTCCTAAACTATGTTAATGGTCTGTTTTGACCTTATTTTTTGTTACATGTCATGTGCGAAAGTTTGAACCTTAACATAATGTCAAAAGAAAAGTGAAACCAATTTTTACTTTCTACCTAGCTGTGTTCAAAATTACTTAAATCGTAATGACATTAAGATTTTGTGTTGTGTAAGTGCTTCAAGCAAGAGGAAAAAAACTACAAAATTTAAAGATTATGTCAATCTGTGCTAAATATACAACTTCTAAAGGTTACGTTTTAAATTTTCGAGTTATATTAGACTAATGATGTCTGTAATAAAAAATGATAGTTAATATAATTGCTCTTTTACTACAGTCTTTGAAAATTTGGCACATAAAGGACAATATTCCCAAATAACAATACAATTTTCCCATTGTTTTATCAATACCAATAAAATAAGAATCGTGTCACTGCTTAACCCTCCGCCGCGATCGCACTTAAATAAAGTGTTGCCCGTCTCAATAAACTAACATAATATATACGTAACGTTTCCTGATTGGGCCAAGTGGACCGGTTCTTACTTCGGTCGCAGTATAAAGTAAACCGCCACTGCCATGAAAAACTTATTATACAGAAGTTTTAGTTATAACCTAATCTACTCATGTTTTTACTGTCGTGGTAAATTATGAGTCACACATGGGTTCGAAATCAATTAGTTTTCACATGTCGGAAACAATTCGAGCTTTGAAACTTTTACTGAAATTCTCATAAAAAATACCTATTTATTCGTTTTTTTTTATCTTTGAACGGAGTAACTGATCCATAAATAACATAGATTGTGATTGAAAAGAATTTGACGACATAGATTAAAATTTTTCAAAAAAAAAACATCGTAAATCCTCAAATTCACTGTTAAAAGACAAAACATATCGCATACCAAAAGTCTACTACCCATTTTCTAAGTTTGAAACTTTCGCCAATTACCTGCATACGCATACTATTTATTCTTTCTTTCTTTGTAAAAACTGATCCTTCTTGACAGTCTCTGAAGTATCTCTACGTTGGCAGTCGGCTTTACTTTAACGATTCAGTAACGAGAAACGCCCCAAGCTAAAGTGATTCATGGACTATTTTATGAAGTTATTATGCCACGGTGGGCTTGTTCAATGGTGGTCTGATGTTCCGCTGTTATCAATATATGAATGGACTGCCGTAATAGGCTGCGTGGACGCTAATATGATCAGTTCGAGTTTAGATATCAATGGAGATGTTTAAATTGTTGGAAGATAGTTTTTTCGTATGTCTTTTTAAATTTAATCAATGTTGGACTGAATTATGACCCTAATTTTTTTAAAGGGAAATTTCATCGGGTGTTTCAGACTCTTATTGTCTAAAAACCGCCTCGTGCCTTTTCCTGCTCCAGACCCAGGCCGCGGTACCTTATTCCAGTTGAATCGCTACCTCGGCTATGCTACCTTACCGGAGTCGTTTGAGGCTTGCGCTACCACAAGTCACACCGGGACTGATATTTTTAATTATGTGAAACTGCAACTAGATATTAGATTTTTAGAATATACTTAATAATCAAAAACTGAATATCCTACTAACAATTTTTTTGAAGATACAAATGAATAGTAGTAAGTATACCATAGTTTGAATCTATGTAAATTCGTTCAGTTAAAGTAGGCTTGCTAACTAGCGGTTAGTAAATGTAGGCTGTGCAGTCTCAGAATAAGTAATGCATGATAATATGAAGCAGGTGAATTACGTTCTAGAATGATCCATTTGAAAGAGCAATTGGGCGAAAATGAAAAGACATTTCGTCGAGGACAGTGGTATTTTCATTAACATTTGTATTTCACGTATGTTTTTAATAATATATTCAATTTACAGTTACGACAAAAATATCATAACTACATTTCATTTTGGAGTAGATATAATAAAATACTTATCATGCTGTTAGGTTTGGGTTGATAAAATAAAACTAAGTTTATTTATCAAATAGCAGAGGTGGAATTTATTATTATACTTTAGGAGGTGTGTGTTGCCTGAAGGCGTAAGCAGAATAGAATGAGGGCGAGATGCAATCATCTCAGTGAGGGTTAGCTGACCACTTAAGGCACTTATTAATACTTAGAACGCCATTTTGGACAATGGCGTCCGGCGCTAGCGGAGGCTATTTTCAAATATCTAACATTTTCCATCAGAATGCTTAGGTTCATCAGCCACAATTAACTTATAAAACAGCTGGCAATGCGGCTTAAAGAATGTCCCACACTACATATTCATTACCGGAGCATCGAATTCATTGAAAACTTTAACTTTCTTCTAGCCTGGGATTAGATACGTTTCACACATGTGTAACGAGGGCATAAATATTGTAACGACTGACACAAACTGTCGCTTGTTACGCAAGTGTGCAGGTTAAGGAGCGAGCTCACTTGCGTACCCGGTCAGCAACAGGTTGGGCGATAGTTTGTACAACAGATTTGTACAACAGATAACCTTAGACATTTTTAAAATTATTTACAAGTTTAAATATATAAGCATGATGTTAATTGTCAAAAAATGCCATCAACGCCATTGTTATACAGACTAACATGTGTAAAGTATTTTGACTGTATAAGATATTGGAGAGATTCAGATATCAGACTCTTAGATATCTCTATTGAATTTGTAGGAAATATGAAACCTTTTCAATCTATGACTCCATATCAAAAAGTATATCCAATCAAAATGATATAATTTTAAAAATGTCTACACCCCATTTCACGTAAAGGCAACTTAAGCAACTGCAGCGCAACAGTTGCCGGTGAGTGCGTACTCAGCTTTAGAGTCCACGCACTCAGGCGCAGGGTGCATAGCAATTATAGATAGCAGACTGCTCGGCTGCCGCCCTACAAGACTGGCTTGGTAACTACATACATACTTGCAAC